TCCAAAACTGGAGTGAAGTTACCATTTACTCCAGCAGGCTGGATGGTAGTGGGAAAAGTTAGAGATGCTATATTGAGAGTATGTCAGGGACAAGAGAGGAATGAACAGGTCTAGTAATGTCCAGCATGGCAGTTCAACTGCATTAAACTCAACTGCATGTTGCTTTTGTCCATAGTAGAATTATATACAATAGTGGTAGTCTTTGACTTACAACCATTTTAGTCACTGTTTGAAGTTATAACAGCACTAAAAGAAAGTGACACATGCAGCATCCTCACGGTCATGTGATCAAAATTCAACCACTTGGCAAATAGTATGTTATTTACAATGGTTGCAGCATCCTGGTGTCATAAGATTGCCATTTGCCACTTCTCAGCTGGCTTCCGACAAAACAAAATCGAAGGGGATCTGGATTTGCTTAATGACCACAAGATTCACTTAACAACTGTGGCAAAAAGGTTAAAAAATTGGACATGACTCAATTAACAACTGCCTTGCTTAACATCAGAAATTCTGTTCCCAATTGTGGTTGTAAGTCAAGCAGTGCCTGTATTCTTTTGGAGGGAAGATACCCCTCTTTTTCAGAGAGAGATGGTTATTTCTACTTTCACAAGCCCATCCAGTGAGTCCCATTTATGCTATACTCTATCTGTTGAGTAGCACAAGGACAGCCTGAATGAACAAGATTACAACCTTATGTTCAAAATCTCTGGCTTCAGACATCTAATTCTAAACAACATGTAAGTTCATCTCACCCCTACAAGATGTTAGCTGCTCCCGATAGCTATTCCATGACCTCAGGTTATCTCCTAAGTAACAATTTCATCTGATCATCATCTCCCCAGCAGAGAGGCACTATGTCTAACACCAGTGAGCTGGTATCAGCCCTGACTTTAAAAAATTGATGGTTTTAGAAGACAGTAAAAGAAAAATAAGAAAAGGTTTAAATGGGAAAGATCCAAAAATTCTGCTGCTGGGAACCTGAAAAGAACGGTCATGTCTGGGTATTTAAATAGTCATGTCTAATCTTTTAGCTCTGGAATGCTCCAAAGAGACCAAACATGTCTGGACCCTGTATTTTTGACTTCTCAGAGACCAAATGCTTAATTACTGAAATCTTCCACATATTCATTGATGGTAGGATTCCTGACAGTATACTGCACAATGCAAAACAACGTTGTTTTTTAGAAATAATCTTCTGAGGAAATATTCTAACTGTTCAAAACAAGCAAGCATCATGTTTCTATGATTATATCCATCGGTGAGGCAAGTTTTAAACAGCAGGCAGTTATTAATACTCTATAGACTAAATAGAATCTTCCATCTCTATAGACTAAATAGCATCTTCCATGCTGGTCTATCCCTATGGGGGGGAAAAATCTGGAAAACACCTCAGAAAACAATCAGATTTCATGTTTACCTGCAGAAAAACCAAGATAATGTCTTTTAATATCTCTGAAGATATTCATAATTTTATATGAATTTATTCATATAAAGTTGGTTAATTGTCTCAAATTTTACTTTTTCCTCTTAGGTTTTTTTTGGTAATAAAATATCAAATTTTAAAATCATTAGGCAAACGTTAGAAGCTGTACAGTATTCTTTCTCTAGTCTTCTAATTTTAAGATTATGGAAATGGTGATTCAGCCTGCCTACATTTCTGAAGTATGACTAATTAACATTTTAAGTTTGTAGCTGGGATAATCTGGGAGGTTTTGATTCTTTACAGATCCTGTAAGTTTTTTGAAAATAAAATAAAGTATACATGCTCTGCTCTCTCTGGATTAGAGAGAGTAAAACACAAGAAGGAGGACTAGGACCCAGAGGAAGAGTAAGGATCCAATTATTGTAGCTTTATTAGGGTAATTTTATAAAGATAAATTATGGAAGGTTTCTTTCTTTCCAAAATATATGTAAGTAGTCTTCACAACTTTCATTCAGTGATCACACAAAATTACAATAGTGCTGATCCGTACTTATGACGGATTCTTGTAGTTGTGGCTGCTGTAGCATCCCCGTGATCATGTCGTCCAGATTCAGGTACTCAGCAACCGGCTCGCAATTATGACATTGCAGCATCCAACAGTCAGGTGATCACCATTTCTGACCTTCTCTGCTGGCTTCTGATGAGCAGTCAATGGGGAAGCTGGCAGGAGATCATAAACGGTGATCACATGACTGCAGAATGCTGCAACCATATGATAATGGTTGCATGACAGCAACTGGGAATCGCCATCATAAGTCACTGAGGTCACATGATGTTGCACCTTATGACCTCATCAATTAGCAAAACACTTCCCAATCACCATAAGTGAGTAAGAACTACATACAGTACGAAACAAACCAATAAAATTATGCAAGGTAAACAAATATATTGTACCCAGATCTACATTGTCAAAGAGAGTATACTTTTAACACCAGGTTGGACGTATTTTCTTAATGCTTTAAGCATAAACGCTTTGTTATTATAAAACACATTTTATCTTAGTAAATCTCTATTGTAGTAAATACAGTATGGTGCATCACAAATAATATTTATTGCACAAAAATGTATTTTTTCTGTTTTCAGAAATAGCAAGTTATATCATAGAAATGGTGTATACTTAAGCATTTGTGACAGATGAACTTTTATTTACTACAATACAAAATAGCTACCCAGTACAAATAAAAATTGCTTGCATTGACTTTCATTTTCCACTTCATTACCATAGCAAAAAAATAATAATACTTCTATTTATATTTTTTTCTATAGTCAATTTTAACTTTGTTTATAAAGTGACAGAATTTTAACCAAACCCGATATAATGTGTAATATCATGTGTATAAATTATAATATAAACAACCTTAAGAAGAGAAAACATGAAAGATTTATAGTTAATTCATAGTCAATGTTGGAAAAAATATAGGAATATGATCCCACCCTATCTCAAGATTTCCAAACCTGAAATATTTACCCATCCATATAAAAAAGCAGTTAAATTGGAGAAATTGTTTTGAATATTCAAAACAAAGTACCCATTGTCACTAGATTTATTTCAACACAATATGTTTCTATGGACATTTGTATCAATATTAATATGCTATGTTCTAAAGCACTGTAGATAATAAACGAAAATACATTCAGATTCAGAAAACCTGAATGTGTTTCCACCTGAGAATTCACATTTCTAGCTATTTATAAATAAGCTAACAGTTTCGTAGGGAAACCTTTAAATAAAAACTGAATCAGATAATGATAGCATAATCCAGATTGCCACTTCTTCTAAATATATAGATAAACAATTCATTAAGTTGTTTAGCAGAGGAACAATAAATAAAATAGATTGAAATAAAAAAATCACTTTCAGAGTTTATCACACTTTTAAAAATAATACATAAACCCAATAGATAATAATTAACAATCTTCTTGCAATTATTATGAATTATTTTGTGCATTTGGTTTAAATATAGATAAATGGCCTAAATACCGTGTTTCTCACAAAATCAGGCCGGGCCTTATTTTTTTTTGACCCCTGAAAAACGGCTAGGCCGTCTTTTCGGGGGCGACTTAATTCCCCCCCTTGCATCCTCGGGTGGGCGGGCGGCGACAGCTTGGATGTTCGGGAGACCTTCCACCACCGTTGCTTTCACTTCTCCCTTGCTGCCGTGGCGTTAGAGCAACGCCACGGCGTTTGGTGCAGCCACGTGCGGCCAGTCAGGGCTCCTCCCTGCAACCGGAGCCCTGCGGAGACACTTGGCTTCAGGCGCTCCTGTTGCCTCCTTCCCTTTGCCTTCGAAGGTAAAGCGAATTATTTTAAAACCGACACCCTACTACAACAAAGCCTCCCCTGCCCGAGAGGGCAGCCCACTAGCTTTCCCCGCTCTGCCCAGCCCGCACGGCTCTGGCGCGGCCCTGGCGGGATGAGCGGAGGGTCGGCGGGGAGACGCTCGCTGCCTTGGTGAGAGCTCTGCTGCCTGTCAGCTGCGCTGGGCGCCCCAGACGAAGCTCTTCACGCTCTGCCCGGCGCCAGGCAGGGATGGCGGCTCGGTGCTTCTCCCGGGGTGGGTCGATCCTGCGCTGTGGCTCCGGGAGATTTGCCTCCCCATGTGGGGTTGGGCTGCCCTCTCGGGCAGGGGAGACTTTGCTGTAGTAGGGTGTCGTTTTTAAAATAATTCGCTTTACCTTCGAAGGCAAAGGGAAGGCGGCGACAGGAGCGCCTGAAGCCAAGTGTCTCTGCAGGGCTCTGGTTGCAGGGAGGAGCCCTGGCTGGCCGCACGTGGCTGCGCCAAACGCCACAGCATTGCTCTAACGCTGCGGCAGCAAGGGAGAAGGGAAAGCAATGGTGGCGGAAGGTCTCCTGATATGAAGTGCCCCACCAACGCAGGCAGCACCATATCCGGGCATGCAACAAAAGTACTTCCTAACGGCAAGCCCCCCCGCCATTCCCCCCTCCATTTCGCATGTTTAATATGGGCCTTAATTTGGGGGGAGGGGCTTAATTTGATTTTATGCCAATAAAACATGGTGGGGCTTCCTATTGGTGGAGGCCGTATTGTTGGAGAAACACGGTAGTGTGCTAATTTTGGTATATTTTATAGTTAAAGGTTTAGCAGTCCCCTCCATCATGATTAAACTATGTTCATACATGTGGAAAAATTACTTGCTTCATTACTTTATTTAGAAATCAATAAATCCTTCTCTGCCATACTTTGGTTTGGACTGTATGTCATAAAAACTGAAGATATTCTGCAAATTCCAATTAATGAACTGTTCTTGTCATATTAAATCCAATATAGAAGTGTTCTTTGAAAGTGAAATAAATTCAATAAGAAAAATAAATTCAATGTTTTTTTCAAAAAGTATGTTTAATATTGCAACAGCAATAAAATTCTATTGTATTTCTATCACCATTGTGGAACTTCACCAAAACGTCAAAATACTCACTTTGAAAACCTATAAAATAAACTCTACTTTTACCAGACTTTCTCATGTAGAGTTTTACATCTTTTTTAATAATGTCATAGCCATCACCCAACTCAACAGTGGAGAACTTATCAAAATTGGTTTATTAAAATGCAATTTCACTATATTTACCCATACATATTCACAGAGATTCTAGTTAAATACTACAGATATGACACTTTGTTACAGATAAATGCGAAGATTTTGGTTTTTTGTAGGTAAAGTGGTGTTCCCCCCAACTATGGTTTTATTTTCACTCAAATGTCATTCTCCCCAAAAAAGAAGTTAAAAATCAATGCAGCGTCCTTTTCGTTCCCAGTCTCCATAACGAGTTGGTTCAGGGCCTCTGGGACCACCCTTCTCTTTTGTCATTGGATTGATATCATCGGAAAATTCTAAAAAAAAGGGAAAAATATGCAAAAATCCTAATGAATAGCAGATGCATTCAAATATCACCCATAGTTTGATTGTATTTGCTGTTCCTTGATTTAGTTGGAGAGTTTTCCTTATTTCTAGCACTCAGTTCATTACTAGCACAATGGCAAAAATTATCCAGCATTTCAGTCTGCTAGTTCTCAGTCAATTTGATGGAAGAGAATCTGCTTTTCAAATGCATTTTAAATAAAAGAATGTTGGCAATGTATTTATACATGCAAGCTTTATTAGCCGTGGTGGCCCAGTGGTCAGAATTCAGTACTGCAGGCTACTTCTGCTGACTGCAGTTCGATTCTCACCGGCTCAAGCTTGACTCAGCCTTCCAGCCTCTGAGTTTGGGAAAATGATTGTTGGGGGCAATATGCTGACTCTGTAAACCACTTAGAGAGCACTGTGAAGCAGTAGGTAAGTATGCTATTGCTATTCTTGCATTTACAAAGTTCTGAGATAGCCAAAGAATAGTTGTGAATATCCTGTCTGATACTATACAATAATCTCTTCGGTGTATTTGCAGCCTCCCCGGCTTTCTATGTTTTACTTACAGGTAGTCCTCAACTTATGACCACAATTGGGCCCAATATTTCTGTTGGTGAGCAAAACATTGAAGTGATTTTTGCTCCATTTGACAATCTTTCTTGCCACAGTTAAATGAGTCACTACAGTTGTTAAGTTAGTAACACATTTGTTAAGTGAATCTGGCTTCCCCATTGATTTTGCTTGACATTTGTTAAGTGAATCTGGCTTCCCCATTGATTTTGCTTGACAGAGGTGGCAAAAGGTGATCGAATGATCTTGGGGCACTGCAACCATCAAAATCTGAGTCAGTTGCCAAGCGTCTACATTTTGATCATATGACCATGGGGATGCTAGAATGGTCATAAGTGTGAAAAACAGTCATAAGTCCCTTTTTTCAGTGATATAGTAACTTTGGTCACTAGACAAACTGCTGTTAAGTCGAGGACTACCTGTATATCCATGAGAAATGCTTACACTGGGTTTCTTCAAAGTGAGACATAAGGCCACCCAGGGAGACCCAGAGTAGAGGAAATAAGAATTATTGGCTGCCACTAGTAATAAAGTAAGCATAACACCACCATGAGAATTTGGAAGGAATGCTACAGTACTCCAGAATAAGATAGAAAATAAAATTTATGTATATCATAGAAAGGTCACTTTTGCAAAATCAGAAGTCATATTTTACAGAGCCTTATTTATTATATAAACCAAATGAATTGACCATCTACTTCTTCTAATTTTATCAATGGGACTAAAACTACTATGATACACCCAAGTAGAACTCAAATGACATAGTAGTTTGGTATTATAGGGGTTTTGAGGCTTCCCTTAGGCATAAAAACCAGGTGGGTGACTTTGGGCCTGTCGCTCTCTTCAATCCAACCCACCTCACAGGGTTATTATTGAGGGGAAAATCAGATGCAGGAATATTATATATGTGTACTGCCTTGAGCTCAATGAATATGAATACACTGACACACGTTTTGGCTTTTAGTTTCAGCATGACTGGATGTTATAAATTTATAGGAAGTTCTACAAGCAATAGCATTTGGGAACAACCACTTTGGGAAGGGTTTCATGTTATACAATTATTTAATTACAGACTTTTTAAAACAACATGTAATGGAAAGAAGTATCCATGGGTAGCAGATGACAAGCACACTTAAAAATGTGTACATATTATGAATTTATTATGTTCATTCCTAATATCATGTGACACTGTACCTGCATGGCACATTTGCCCATGACTCATGGGTCAGAGATAAATCTGAGCCAACATATTTTGTTGTACTTCAGTAGAGCAGCAATTTTAAAAGTAAATTATATTAGAAAATGCAAAGTTATGCTAAGTGATTTAAGCACATATGAAGCTACCTACCTTATAGCTTCATAGCATACGTATATAGTTTCTTTGAAATGAAAATCTTTGAAAAACTCAAAGTTAGTGATACATTGTCCAAAATATTATATATCACAAATTAATTATTTAGCTGTACATTCATATTTAAACAATAAATGGTATTTGGAAAGCCAAAGAAAAAGTGTAAAGTAAGTAAAGATTTAATAAAACATCATGTAGGAATTCTATTTTCTGGAGAGATGGACATAAAAGAAAAATTGGCTCAGAGTTACAAAACACGAAAAATGTAAATGGAGAATCAATGGGGTAGAAATATTTTCAATTTTTCCCTTAACATCTTTTTCCAGAATATTGAACAATGTTCTATACATAATAATTCCATGGATTAATTTCCTTTACTACTTCCCTGAAGGTATTTATAGCATCTCAAGACTATACCTGTTTTAACACCATTTATTATATTTATATTTTACACATCCGCACTTACTTTCTAGTGGCTCCTTTTCTACATTTGATTCTTCTGGTGTATCAAAACGACCTACTGGTGTTACTGGCTTCTTAAGTGGTTGCTTGGTGGATTCAGTAGTTCGTTTTGCACTAGAGGTATTACTTCCCAAAGAACTGTGTAGAAAAGCTGAGCCTATTACATATAAACATAAGATGTATGTTATAGAAGGCCTAGATTTTAAATGGCCCATGGAAGTGGACAAAACCAAAAATGGTTATCACATAATATAAATATGAATACATACAGAACATTTATGGAGATTCCTGTCTGTGTCAGAGGCCAGTTTAAGAAGGAAGAGGCACAGAGTCAGAAACAGGAAGTGCATTGAAGAGAGTGCTATATGAGCATGCACAGGATTGCATTAATTATCATCTGCAACCAACCTCTCTGTACAGTAAATACAGTAAGGTTTTCATTGTGATCATAATCTCCAAGACAGATATACTCTGAAGTGCCTCTCTTTGTTGTGCAGTTTTACAAGACTGCATTTGGAGCAGGACAACTGCTGTAATTGCTGTTTTCAAATCCGGTTAGCAGTAAGTAAAAATGGAAACTACTCCAGATTTGGACACCTTTAGTATGACACAAGTCTCATATGGTATCATGGTTTACAGGGTCATGCAGGTGAGAATCTCATATAATGTGGTATGCTTAAATTGAACAGCATGTTCAGAGTTCTGTTCCACTACACACAATACTACCTTCCCAAAGAAGCATGTATATTTACGATTTTCCTTTCTTACCTATCAACTGTCCAGAGTCAACAAGTATATATATTCTACAATATATATTCTATTCTCTCTTTAGACACACCTTTCTTGCCAAAGGAAAGGTAAGTTAAAAAGTATTTTTTACTACAAATCCATCAATAATTCACTTCTTGCTCCACAAAAGTTCCATTTTTTTACCAACAAATCCAACCTCTTTCCCAAAACAACTTACAGAACAAGCCTTTGACCAACCTGGTCAAAGGCTTGGAAAGAAAGGTGGGTAGAAAAAAGGTGGGTAACAAATATTTGTTTATTTATTAAATTTATGTACCACACATAAGTGTGGGGGAGGCAGACAGGCAGAGGCTGCAGTCCAGAACTGGCCCCTGCAGCATTTGCACCCTTGGCCTACCACCTCCCCGTACTCAGCCTCTTCCCCCCCCCCCCCCCGCTAAACTCCGCTCCCCGCTTACTGGCTTGTCCGCCGGCGGACACGAAAGAGCGGCCCTGCCGGAGCAACAGCCGCAGAGCCATTTCCTGCCAAGGACCCGGGGCCCCTCCTCGCCTTGCGTGTTCCTGCGCGCCCCCGATGCCCCAGCGAAGTGGGCGGCGCTTCTCAAGGAAACCCCACCCCTCGCCTGCCTGTTTTCCTCTGGTCTCTCAATGAAGGAGAGCTGCGTTTCAGGGCTCTTTGCAGCTTTTGTCAAGGAACGCTGCGTTTTATTTAGAGTAGATACAGTGGAGGAGACGGGATCCCGGTCTGTTTTAGACGAGGCCACATAGACGGAATCGTGGGACCCGGCGGAATTTTTCGCCGGGCTAAAGCGATCGATCTCTGCAACACCCCATGCGGTCTAAGTAAGCAATCGGTAGGAGTACAGTATTTTTTAGCGACGCCCTTTCTTATTTTTGACAATCTCTGCACTCTATCCTGGAACATGAGAAACCGCCTTGTCTTGGGACATCGCTTTGGTCTATAAGGATACATGAGCGAATTAGGCGGGCATGGCTCTTGGAACTCTACTTTGGCTCCTAGTGGCTGGAGCTACATGAATACCTTGATGCGCTCTTTTTCGCAACACTACCGATGCAATTCTTGTTTTGCGAGGATGTTTTTTTTTAAAATGTCCTAATCATTTTTCAGAGACCTCGGATTCTCTGGAGAGTTTTCAGCAAAACACTTAAGTATGTTAACACTATTTTGGCTCAGAAATGCAAAAATGTAGTTTGCTTGAATTCCTGAATTCACACATACAAAACCTAACCAGACAAATTGGCATGAGCACATCAGCTTTTATGGCTATATTTTTTTATCAATCGTGCCAGGAGACATGAGAGATTAAATCTGGGGGACCTGACTGCATAACAACTGACCTTCAGTGCATTGCAGCTTTTGTTTTGGAAAGAAGCCAGCCTTTAGGGACCATTTCTTGAAACCCCAGGTGAAATGGAGGAAAGCATATACTGGCAAAGATTTGGGGGCCCTAATGTTTAAAACAGCCTGTATTTAAAACTCTACAAATGCTAGCATGTTTGTTCCTGAAATTGCAGATTTTATCTGTACAATTAAGTGAATGAATAAATGAATGGTTATAGGAAACAAGTTACGGTTTTGGAAATGTTGACTCAGTGGCCTGGCCATCAGTTTTACCAAGATAGAAGGATTTGGCTTTGAGAAGAATAATCTCTCTTTACCAATTTGCAGATGGAATTACTTTTTGAGTGCCAGCCAACCAAGAATTGAAACAAAGGGATTTTTTTAAAAGAAACTAGAACAGCAGTCTACTATATTTACTTCAACATTCTACAGCTCACACCCTATTGTATAAGAACTCAAGGACCCCTTTCATAACACCTCACCTGATAAAATATCGGGGAAACATCAACCTCAGTCTGATATAGCCTTTCTTTCAATGTAGCCAACATTTGTTATAGTGTCTGCAAAATTTGGCAGATTTTGCGCAATCCACCATCAATGATTAAATATTATTTGCCTTTTTCATTTCATTTCCCTTTATTTTTAATGCTCATTTGTAATGCTGGTCGTGACTATAGTATAATTCCTGGTATAGAAACATGATCTACAGCATGACTAAGACTTAAATTCATATCAGAATGAATTTTAAGATTGAGTTGGAAGGGACCTTGTAGATCTTCTAGTCCAACCCTCTGCCTATAAAACAGCATCTTATTTAAATAAATACCTAGAATATACTGGGTGGGCTACAGAAATTTATTAAATTCCCTAAATTTTAGATTTTTTTCTGCAGATGGTTTTGTGAATAACCTTTAGTTTTACAAGAAAGAAAACGGGTTTAAAAAATTATATGAAAGGAAGCAAGTGGATGAATAATAGCTCAGACTGAAAAAACAGAAATAAAGTTAGAAATCCATAACAATTACTGAAAGGAGCTTTAAGTGATTGCACTTGGCTTGAAAATATAATTGAAGTCAATGGAATATTAATTAAGTTTGATCATTCAAGCTACATAAATCAAGTACAAAAAACCCTAATTACAATCCTATGGTAACAGTGAACCAAGTAATTTGAACACTTATAAAAAATTAATAGTAACCATGGGAGATGGTTCAGATTGCAATGACTGGAGTTCTTTATATCACTTCCCTATTTATTGAGTCCAAAAATAAATCTGAAACATGGCATTTTATATAAAGTATTTTCAATTTGTACACCATAGTGCATATGTCCAAACATATCTTTTAAATTTAATTTTTAAACAAGATTTTTAAAATCTTTAATTTTAATTTTTTAAATTAATTTTTAAAACCCATAAAATATTTTAAATTATTTTAATGGTGGATGCAAATATATTACCCTATCTAAAGCCGGGAGCGGAACAGGACATCAATCATAGCAACTCAAGTTGCATCAATCATAGGGACCCAAGTACATAATGGTAACTAACAACCCTAACAATTCAAAGTTACAATGGTCTTAGAAACAGTCCTGAGCCTTGGTGGTGCAGTGGTTAGAGTGCAGTACTGCAAGCTATTCCCACTGCAATTTGGCAGATCAAATCCCACCAGGCTCAAGGTTGATTCAGCCTTCCATCCTTCCGAGGTGGGTAAAATGAGAACCCAAACTGTTGGGGAAAATATGCTAACTCTGTAGACCGCTTTGAGAAGGCTATAAAGCTCTATAAAGCGGTATATATGTCTAAGTGCTATTGCTATTATACTTACAACCACCACAGCATCTCCATGGGCGTGATCAAAATTGGCAACTGGCATGCATTTACAATGTTTGCAGCATCCCAGGGTCATGATTGCCACTCGGTGGCGCAGTGGCTAGAGTGCAATACTGCAGGCTACTTCTGCTTACAGCCAGCTATCTGCAATTTGGCAGATCAAATCTCACCAGGCTCAAGGTTGACTAAACCTTCCATCCTTCCGAGGTGAGGATCCAAATTGTGGGGGCAATATACTGATTCTGTAAAACCGCTTAGACAGTGCTGTAAAGCAATGTAAAGCAGTATATAAGTCTAAGCGCTATTGCTATTTGCAACCTTCCTAGCTAGCTTCTGATGAGCAAAGTCAATCGGGGGAACTGGATTTGCTTAACCACCCCAAGGTTCACTTAACTGCAATGTTTCACTTAACAACCATGACAAAAAAAGGTTGTGAAATCAGATGCAAACTGCTTTGCTTAGCAATGGAAATTCGGATCCCAGGTGTGTTTTAAGTCAAAGACTACCTACAGTATATTTATATGGTGTCATTGGTCACATGCTGTGATTTGGGATTAATCCACTTGGCTATGGATGCTGTTAATCATGATCTACCAGGGACACAGTGTAAGTTATCATTTCTCTCCAAACCACCTGGTATTTCTGAAACTGATGTGTATCTAGAATTAATAAAAACCAGTAACAACACACATTCAAGCTATTTCACAGTCTGAAAAAAATGTTGGACAATTTATCATAGCCTTGGTTAGGCAAATACTTCAGTCAAATTTTAGATTTAGTTAGCCACAGGCAAAATGGGAAGTTTTGAACTACCTCGCTTAATTAGAAAGTTAAGTGCAAAGAGTATTCATGTTTATATAATAGTTTGTAAGTAGCATGCTATATTGTTTCAATTATATTAAATCTGTTTTTCTGTCACAAGTCATAAAACAGTAATAGCTGCAGGCATAATATTAAAACATTGACAGATTGTTAATCTTTTGAAACATGGCAAATAACATTTTCCATTACAGCTGCACACTCACTATTAACCAATCTATCAATTTAAAATTAACAATATAATGGAAAAAACTGAATAAGATTCAATCATTGATTCATCTTTTTTCTCTTCTAAGTACATTCTTTTAGTTTCAAGAATGCAAGCAGAAAAAAAACTTAATAATTTATTAACGTACACTATTAACACCTTTCCACTGCTTCTAAATTACTTTTTCATTCTTATATATTAACTAGGCTGAAGTCTGATTAATCTTTTTTTAGTATGTTTTCAAAATGAGAATTGTTGGTGTTACCTCTTGAGAAGCAAGCAGTAAAAATATTGCAATCTTAGAATTATTTATATATTGCATAAAAAAGTAGTTATTTCTGTGAATCTATGTTTGTTAGTAAATATTGTCACTGTACTTAAACTCAGGGATTTTCTTCTCAGAAATAATAATAGATTGGGCTATTAGAGCAATCGGTGAAATGGCCAAGTAGCAGTAATTATTTGTAAGTCTTGCTCAATAAAATTCAGTAACACATGATTGCAAACCATTGCCCATCCACAGAATTAAACTGCCCTTAGACACTATTCAAATTAGAAAATGCAAGATTTTAAACCAATAGCATATATGGACAGTTTGCAGTGAAAAACTGTCCAATTGTGATATTCAATCTATTATCAAGCTCTATGTGATGTTATATATTATCCTCAGGATGTGGAAAAAGCAAAATCTTGCTTTCTCTAATATTTTTTTAGTTTATTAACACAAGACACAATAACACAATGTTCGAAAATAAACATGCATTAGATATACTACAAAACTGTATTCTCTGAAAAACTGTTACAATTGCACAATGACAAGATTTTTTCCCCTTTTAAAAGCATTCTGCCTGAAAAAAAGGTGAAAAGGGATGAATATTGAACTCACTACTTTTCAACCCCAGTATGACTTTTAGCATTCTTGGATATTTTTTAAAAAACTAGTTATCACTTAAAAAATTCCATTTCAAGATGCAACTAATTTCTATTTACAATAATTTGTCAATAAATTTTAATATTTAAAAATTTACATTTTTCAAAGTATTGCAGAAATTTGTTTACTTTTTAAAAAATGTACATATAAGGAAGTCCCATGTAAAAGGTTCACTGAAGAACTGAACCAATATAAAGAGCAATTTTATTAAATTTTGCAAAACTCCACTTGAAGGCAGCTCACATTTCAACATTCAAAAATCCTTAATTGTTTGTTTATGAAAACTAATGTTCCAGTAATAAAGGTGAAAATGTAAACTAATGTCCTATTGAGATCAGTAAAAAAATGTAGTTTCCACAGGCAGAGTATGTTCAATAATGCTTCTATAGAAAGTAGTTCAGCTTGAATGTAGTGACGTAACAAACAGGTGACTCAAAAGAGTGGTCTTGAACAAACCTATATACTTATAGTTATTTTAGCAGCAAGCAGTTTGTTTTCCAGTTCAACTTTTTAGAGTTCTAAAGAGATCAAATTAATACCTTCTTAGACATAGAAATTCAGAGTTTTTGGCATCTAAAGACACATAAAAATGTAGTCATATAACATTTGCAGTCTAAATCCATCAATTGCACATAACTGTGCTTACATCTGTTCTGAAATAATTAGGTACCCAAAATAAGAAAAATAGAAAAAAAAACATTAAAAATATTGCACAGCCACATACCTAGAAAGTAAAGTTGATGTTAAAAAAGCTCTTCACATGGATGATATAAATTATCTTCCATATAAAAAAGTATAAATATCTCTTAAAATACCGCAGTAACTACAGTTTAATATCACACATTATTTATCTGTTAATGAGGTAATAACCAAGTCTGTTACAATGTTTTTATTCCTACTGGAAATATTTTAGGGCAGCAACCAGAAAAAACTTTTCCAAAAATATGTCTGAATCCAAAACAGCAATGTGTGCAGCTCTTCCTATGAGAGAATCAGCTGTGTTTGGCAGTGCACAATGCACATTGTATCGAATTAAATTGCAGTCCTTGCTTTGAAGAACAGGCAGAAGCATATTCTGGATCATTTCAGCATATATTGGTCCTGTAAAAGAAGAACCTGCATTACTTATTTAAGTAAGCACTGTATGTATTTCTTTTCTATCATGCAATTAACAGAGGAAACACCATGTTTAAATGTTATCAGTTGAAACCCATTTGTAATACTGCAAGCAAAAAAGTCTCAACCTATAATTCACCAACAACTATATGAACTACTTACTTTAGCTTTAAAAGCCCTGTTTGTACTGGCAAAGAAGTTAAGAGTGTCCCTAAAAAGGAAATCCCATAAAGTGCCATACTAAAAAACTCAAAAAGATCAGCTGCCAGATACTTGCTGAATTTCAGTCAAAGGACAGCAAGCAGGGCTTCAGGAGCTGAGCAAGCACATAAGGGTTGTATAGAAGGCAGATTTATACATGTGTACATAAAGAAAGATCAATGATGCTTTTAAAATAACTATTATTTTAAGCATAAAATAACTTCCAAGATAAAGAAATATGATGGCTGATCCAAATAAGACTGAGATTCAGGGAGGAACGTTACAAGGAAACTAATGAAAAAGGTGAACATTGATAGCTATTTTATAATTTTGGGTTCATTAATAGCAAATTTAGAAAACATTGCAAATAATTTGTTTTGAAATTTACTACTTTTAATGGATCAAGGTGATAGATTGCTTATCTGTTAGTTTTTAGTCCTAACTATAATGTCCATGCAATGTCCAGAGGCATACAAATATGGGAGCATTTAAAAAAACAGCATTAATGATACTTTGAGAAAATAATGACAAGTCCTCATAAAAATATTTTGTTGAGCAAACCAACTTCTCTTTCTTTAAAAAAAAAATCACCTTTAAAAAGTTTTTTGGGAGGTCCATCACATTATTTTTCATTAAATGAACTCTGAAAGCACTAGCTTTTTAAATACCGGCAGCCATCAGATGTACAAGGCCTGACTTACCAAAAGCAATGCTACAGAAGCAGATATACAAATAGGAATTTTCATATTTGTGTAATGCTGTATAATTGATTATTACATTTGCATTTTAAATTTATGTTTAGCTGGCCATAACTGCTATTGCAAAATGGCCACCATATAAAGAACATATATAAATAAAATTTACACATGCCAACAGGTGCCATATGACGTGTAAATTTTATAGTTTTCATCTTATAAAATCCAGGCACACTCTATGTGTAATTTCTACCTCATATGTTTCTTTAAAATTGATTTCTACCTCATAAGAAAAAATAAGACTTGTTGCCCTAGAATAACATTATTCAAGTTAATATTCTCCTGAATATTTTCTAAATGATGAACAGCTATTGTTTCGCAAATATAAAAATGCTTTAGCTAATACCTGTCTGTTTATCTTTCAAAGCTGTTTTGCACATCTCAATGCGGGCAGAATGATAAGGAACGTAACGATCTTGCAGGGACCCTACTAATATTATATTTTTGAAATACTGAAGACCTGTGAAAAGACAGCAATTATAAATATTAAGAACATACACAAACATATCAACAGTTATAAGCTTAGAGAAATTCAGTCCTACCCCAACAAAACCCCTTGAATTAATAGATATTAGGGATGTAACAAATGCTAGGATCCCATTAGTCCCCTTCTACGACTAAACTAAAGCACACATAGGAAAGGAGAATAAGAAAATTAATACTTTTCTGGCAGTAATTAATACCAAGAGAAAAGCTCTTTGAAGAATTCTGCATTCATATAGCTAAGTAGAGATCCAGAAATATAACTATATGCAAATATGACCATATTTGTAAAAGAAATATGACCATATGTGGTAAAATAGATTTCATGACTGCTAATCAATTTATAGAAAAATAGTAAAATTAGTTTCTTAAATTTCCACTGATAATTGTAATGGAATTCATTTAGCTTTTGGGGGTTCTGTTGAAGCAACTGACTCATTTATAGTTTCTGTGAAATTTGAGATTGCAGTCAAACCTATAATCCTTGCCTGGTTAATCTTTAGAGCATTTCCTTTATTACCATTTTACAGAACAGTAGCAAAGCTTAATCTTATGCTTTCATCCATGCTTTTTCATTTAATATATTAGCAGTGGAAATATTTTGCAAGAAATATTTCACTGTGCTTGGTTGTGATTTCTACATGGTTGTGATTTCCAAACTAAAGAAAACTAGCAAGTCCTTATATCAATACCATAATTATGCTTTAAAAAATAGCATCACAGTATATTATTAACAGAAAACCTATGACATTTTGTAGGAAAACTACTTAAATCTGAATGTCTGAGATCACTGGTATCACATTCACTTGCTACACCAGTTTCTCCAAAATATATTAATGTATAAATGAAAACAAGTTACATTAAAAGTTAATGCCTTCAATGAAGTTGATATAGCTTACCTGCTTTTCTACTAAGTTTGTATAAGAAGGTTTGCCGGGGGTCTGAATGATCTCGACAGGTCAACTGTAGCAAAGATCCTGACTTCTTCCACTTCTGCATAAACCAGAGACCTATATTTTTGCATATATTACATGTGAATACACAGAGTACAACTATACAAATCTTTGAGTAATTTTCTTATTAGTGTTCATTCTATACATCCTAAGAAGGTTCTACTCTATTTGCTGATCTAATATGTAATAATTAAAATTAGCACAGATATCAAATATGTCAATAGACAAAATCCTTACTAAATATGTGTGTACACACACATACACACACACCATATATATCCTAAACACAATTTTAATGTTCTTTAGTACATCAGGTTTGTGTTCTTTAGCCAATCGATTAAATGATGTGGACTGTAGACTTAAAAGCAAATCCTCTTTGACAAAACAGAATGGCAATTATTTTGAACACTTCTTAGAAAGTGTTGGTGTCCAATGGTTCTGAGTATCTCAGGAAACAGTTCATCCTATATAAAATGCTCTGAAATTTGGGAAATGTATCCTGAAGTTCTACTTCACATACTAATCAAAGTGACTTCCAGGAAAAGCAGTGTGATCCTGGCGATCCCTTTGAGATAACTAATTATTCTTTGCTCTTTCTTCCAACAAATTAGATGTATTAGCATTCATTCCACAGTAGTATTAGCATTTTTCCTTATGTTGTAGCTGTTTATATACAGCTGTGTTGATTGGCCTTTTCCATTTCATTATTTTAAAAACTGATAATATATACATAAAAATCCCACTTAGCATATGAAGATGATAGAAACATGAATACTGAAATGAAATGTTTAGCTCTCTTAATTTAGTAATATTAGAGTACTTAATTTTACACAATATTATTGTACATTATTTAATATAGAGGTATATATCATATTCCAGATATTTGAACAATGATTCATGTTACTCCTAACCAATGATCTTAATAGTTTAGAATTACAGCACTTGTGCTTTAACATATCTGGTTCCTTCTTCCTACTTCAGTATACCCCTCTGAACATTTAAAGAGAGAGGCATCTTGTGCATTTTAATGGATACTAGAAATACTTGCTCAAACTTTGACAATTTGAAGAAGATAATTACACTGTTTAAAAAGATTAAAATAAGCCACCCTTTTTTATAGTTCTGAGACTTTAAAGTGTATATCAAATCTAGGTGTTTTTTTTTACCTGTATTAACAAGAGCACTGCTGTTGTAGAGCGTACCAAGATGTGGTCCAGACAGAGAAAGGAAGGTATAAAGTTTATTGAGGTAATACCTAAACCTAGGTCTTGTGAGTACTGAACGGATTATTAAATTACCCAGTGAATGTCCAATAAAACTGAATAAAAAAGAGAAAAAAAGAGTGTGAGATTTGGAAAAATTTCTAATACATTATCAACTGAAACCTTGAACTTTAACTTCTGTTTGTTTGTTTTTCTTCCATTTTACTATGTCCAAATTTTGGAGGCTGCTTTGTCAAGCCCTGGTGTCTTCTTAGCAAGGTTTTTCAACAACGGTTTGCCACTGTCTCCTTCCTAGGGCTGAGAGAAAATAGCTGGCCCAAGGTCACCTCAGCTGGCTTTGTGTATAAGGTGGGACTACAACTCACAATCTCCTGGTTTCTAGCCAATGCCTTAACCATTACACCAAACTAGCTCTCAACTTTGTTTTGTAGTACTGCAAATGTTATGCTTTCTGCACATGCCTAAAACAATCATGCAGTTTATGAAAGGGTTTTCATTATGTTTACTAAAACCACCATCAATGAGGAGGTATGAATAAAATGCAGAGCATGTTTTGGCTATCACTGGTTTCCAAACTTTCCACAATACTCTATTTATCTCTCTCATTCCTTCACTTCTGTAGTTTCAATTACAAATTAACAAACTTTGTTTGGGAAGGCACTAGAGCAATAAGTTGTAGATGACATAGAAACTGCCTATTCTTGTTTAACACATTTAATTTTCAGCTATCCCAAGCTTCATTTGGTATTCATGAATGTACCCTTTACAAAATGATTTTTTTTTCTTTTTAAGAAAGAATGTGCCCTGATTTCAACTAATCTTTATGTGTTTAGAAATTTTAATCCCACTTTTTGAAATACAATCTTCCTTGTAGTGACTTACTATGATCCAGAAAAAAAGATAAATAAATCTAAAAAATAAATAAATAAATCTAAAATCATAATTACTGTTTAAAAACCATTTTTGACAAACATTTTAGTATTGACTTATTAAATAATAAAATCTAGTTTAACAAGCAGGCCCGTTTTTGTAACTAAGCCAAATCCTGGCACATTGTTTCAATCCAGGATAAAATTTTAAAAAGCTGGCAGATCTAAGGGGCCTAACATGATTTCACTCCTGAAACACCTTTTCAGAGCTTCCCAATAGCTGAGCAAGGCTACCTAAGGAGTTCTATACAGGTTGCCCAAAGCCATGAGGAATCCACTGATAGAGGGGGTCTCCAGTGCTTGGTGGGCCAGCAATGTAGCATTTATAACATTCTGAGGTAAAAATATTACCCTCTGCAAACCACATTAAAGTATTTTGAAGTTGGCAACTTTGGGAATAACTTAAAATGTTTCGGACACCTCTAAATTGCAATCCAGATGTATTTTTAAAGATGTAGATATAAGGATAATTGCTAATGTAGTAATTTCTGCTCAATGCTTTTTATTTATTCTCAGAAAATCCACAATTTAGCAACTAAAATAATAATGGCCAAATACTGGAAAACTCCAGATAACATAAAAATGAGAAGTGGATTAAAAAGGCTTCTTCACTTGTTTCAATAGAAAAAACATTAAAGTTTAATAAAACATCAGAGGTAGGAATTATAATTGTCAAATTTGGATGGATTTTGTAGTTTCTCAATAATGAACTATAATAATACAGCAATATTTTAGATACATAGTAAATTTGTATGCATTTGTATGCCTCTTCATTTGGTAAACTTTTTGCATTTTCTACAAGTAGTTTTCGACTTACACAATCAAGGCAAAATTTCTGCTGCTAAGCAAGACAGTTGTTAAGTGAGTTTTGCCCATTTTACAACTTTTCTTGCCACAGTTGTTAAGTGAATCACTGTAGTTGTTAAGTTAATAACATTGTTGTTAAGTGTATCTGGTTTCATCATTGACTTTTCTTATCAGAAGGTCGCAAAAGGTGATCACATAACCTCAGGACACTGCAACTATCATAAATATGAGTCAGATGCCAAGCATCAGAATTCTGATCATGTGACCATTAGGATACTGCAATGGTTTTAAGCGTGAAAAACATTCACAAGTCATTTTTTTCAGTTTCATTAAAAAAAGTCGAGGACTACCTGTATATTTTTTTTCCAATGTTTCATGTATTTACTATTTAGTAATTTGATAACATTTGTTAATAATAGTTCATGTTTTTTTAAAAAATCCACAATTAAGGATACATTTCAAGCTGACATTATTTATTCTACAACAACATAAATTACCTGATTTTTGAAATTGTTAGATTGTAAATTTGAATATATTGGATTATTTCATCCAAAAGGCGATCTGTCATTGAATCAAAATCAGCAAATGTGTCATTCTGTGGGGAAAAATTTTGGGGTTCTTATACAAAACTGTTTTGTGATAAGCATGCATCTTTAGCAAATTACAGGAATATTGGAAAAGAACAATTAAAAGTAATAGCAGTAATTCCCAAGAAAGCCTTAGAGACAGAACAAAACAGCGGTAAGACAAAATGTCCTGACATCAAGGCAGCTATCACCATGATTCCCCATTTCATAAAGCCTAAAAGATTTTGCTTCTTTCTCTGGACTTGGGAGATGGACCCCTCCTGCCCATATTAGAAGCATTCATCATATTTTGTACATTGTGAGTTAATTGAATAACCATTCATGCTTGTTATATTCTTTGTTTCATTATCTTTCATAATCATTTTGTATTTTTTTTCTAATATTGTGAGCCACCCAGACCTGATCTGGCACCAGGTAATACAATAATAGAGTAGAGTGGAACTGAATGGGACCAAACTAAACTACTATGTGCAGCAGAACCATTATAACTGCTTTAAAAGATTGAAGCCTGGAAGACATAGCATGTGTAACTACTCAAACCATTATGTTAGGCAAACTTAGTTTATTCAACAATTCAAGGTTAATTAGCCATCGCTTATTTAATGTTTGATGTTTAAAAAGCAAACGTTTGATTCGATCCCAACCAAACGATTGTATTAACAAAAAGTAAAGATTCTGACACTCAAAAATGTGGCAAAGTACAACATCTAGCCAGCCTGAATGGAATGTGGGATACCGGAGACTTTTCAGTCAAGGTTCAGGCCAGGATACAGCACTGAGATGCTGGTGGAGGATTGGGTGTGTATATCCTATCCTGCCTGGATTCCCTGGCTGCTTTCGATATCACTGAACATGTATCCTTCTGGACTGTCTTTGGGAGTCACAAGTGGGGGGCACTGTTTCCTTTCTCAGTGGTCAGTTCCAGTTGGAAATGGGAATGGAACTTTGTAATGTGGGGTATCTCAGGACTCAGACCTTTCTTCCCTCCTTTTTAATATCTGTATGAGATCATGGGAGAGTCATCCAGCAAGATTCATACATAAATTAATTTAAATAAGATATCTCTAGATGAGGTATTATAAATTAATCAGTAATTCTTGGGTGCTACTACCTGATTTCTCTCAGACATCAGAAAATCTATTCGACCTCCTGGAAGACCAAGTTCAATGTAAGTTTTTACTAATCTTAAATCGGCACTATTACCTAAAATAAAGGAAAATTTCAGATATTAGAAAGGTTTACTTGCCAGAAATAACACATTTAAATTAAAATAATTATTATCTAATACTGTAGAAATGTTAATTAAATATTTAAATATAATTACATATTTAAAGAACCTAAATGGCACCTAAAATAGAACATGCACAATGCAATTTAACAATATTTTATGACAATAACTTGCCATAAGCATTTGGATAGCTGCCTTGTTTTATTAACACTGCATTACCTACATTAAACATCATGCTGAGAACAAGAAATTTAGATAACTGTTTATTTTAAAAAGAAAATACTTGGTATTTTATGCAATGCAAGGATAATATCAAACACAAGCAGCATCCTAATTAGCAATAACTAGATGGAAATGCTGATTTGACTGTTTTCAAATTAGCATTTTAGTTTAATTACTTTTAGAGATTTGCTTATATTTTGTATTACGCAGACTAAATGTTCTCTTATTTAAACTAAATTTGAAATCCAGCATTTCAAGTATTTACTAATTTATTATCAGCTTCCACAGCATACCATCTAGGCCATGCACACAGATAATGAGATGTATTCCATCTTCTGAATTTTCTTCTTCTGTGCTGAAATAAGGCATGGAAGATGCTAAACTGGAAACATCACTGTACATGAATCCGGGAAGCTGAAGTTGCTTCAATTCTTCTTTAGCATGAAGGAATCTGTAATTAATAGATTTTTTTTATCATTCAGCATGGAAATTAAAATAAGAAAATTATAGGTGTTCAAGTTTTATGTATTAATTAAATAAAGTTGACTAGAAAACCAGTATCATAGATTCCTCAGTAAAACCCATAGATCTTAATCTCTGAAAAATTTACAGAGAATTTCTGTCCTGAATCTACGTCTACATTTTCCAGTTATGTGTGCTTCAGATAATAACATTTGCAAAAGCATTCTGCTGTAATTAATAAAATATTCAGTACTTTCACAAGATTACTGAACATCAACCTATTGTACTTGAACACAACTTCCTTAGCAATTTAGCTGTATTTCATGTCACACAGCTATACTTATATTGTGTTAATACTGAAGCAGCTTTCTGCTTGTAGAAATTTACAAACTTAAATCTCTCTTCCATCTTACTAGCCTTCAAATATGTTGTGACTACAACATCAAGTATATTGAGTCAACGTATCAGAAATTTCATCAGATCAGCAGGTCTGCTTTAATAAAGTAAAATTTAAGAATAAATTATTTCTAAAGTTCAGGAACAATTATTTAGTTGTATCTGAATACAAATAAATAAATAAAATATAATAAATACATAAATTAAATATTTATTCATAAATTATAAATTAAACATAATACATAAATTAAAAAGAAAACAAAAACTCAAAGGACAGATTTGATGGACCACTAGGTCTTTTTCTGCCCTCAGTTTTCTATATTTAATAATAGTAACACCCATCAAACATCAAAGAGATGATAAATAGGTGGATAAAAAATGCCAAATCCAGTCTGAGCATCTAGATGGCTGTACAATGAATAATAATAATAATAATTGTGTTGGAAGAAATCAATGGTTGTACCAATACTAGTAGGAGCGCTTAGAGCAATACCCAAAGGGTTGCCTAGATACATGGAAATTTTGAACTTATCAGACCTGAATATTCTGACTTTGTAAAAAAACACCTTACTCGGACCTGCCCATATCTCAGACGTTACCTTAACAGCTCTTAGGTCCTTGGTTAGGACTTGAACTGTTAACTTTTTACCAGTCCAGACTGTGAATTGAATTGAAGATTAAATCACTATCATCATCATCACCATCATAACAACAATAACAATAACCTACCAATATTTTTGCATGCACTGTATTTAAAAGAAGCTATATTTCTTCACCTTCATCTGTGCTGGCTCTCTGTCAGGCTATCTCAATTTCCCAATTTCATTTTCAGCATAAACCAAAGTATACAATTTCAAAATAAGATATTCATATGTATCTTACCAGCCATCCAGTTTTACCCGTAATTGGGAAAAATCTGCAACCCCAGTAACTAATTTTAGTAACTGGAAACAACTTCATCCCTTTAAAAAGCAAGAATTCAACCTTCCTTTATACACACACAAGTACATTTTTTTAAAAGGATGGTTACATTATCTGCATACAATAAAATATCTAGGTTCTTCTAGGAAATGCTTCTGATTGTGATTTTAGCATATCCTAATTCTATCTACTAAACCGGTAAACTCTTTGTCTCTTTAGCTAAATTCTGCTTTCCCAGTTACAGTCCTTATGAACAAACAGGAAAATGCTTACTATTTTAATAAATAATCCTAATTCCTGACCAAGCAAAATGAAGAAAATAGCAACTATCAGAAACAATATGCAATTTCTATTTCTGAATTACAATTAAAAATGTGCATCTTTATTTTTAAAATATCTTCTGGGCCCATTTTTTAAAGTGTTGATTGATAGAGTCAGTAGATTGATATATATGTCATGCATTCAGGCTCATGGAATCTTACAAATCAAAATATCAACTATAGGACATCAAAACAAACAATACAATATCCACTTACGCTAGCATTTGTGGTTTGGGAGAATATTCATACCAGGGAACAGATAAAATTGCACTACAGGAGGAGGTGCTGGACTGCTTGGAAAAAGAACTGGATTTATCCTGGGTGGACCATAAATTGCTACTTGGATATCCTTTCAAGACTGGAGGAAAAATCAAATTATCTGGCTTGCATAATGGAGCTGTATTTGTCTCATTTCCCAAAAGTTCATTAGACAAACTTTCTATTCTTAAACCTCTTTCACTTGTTAGATCAAAGTTCTCAAGACAATCATTTATAGTTTTGTACAAAAGGCCATCTTCTGCTTCCTCAAAATAACCATTTTCCACCATGCTTTGATCTTGAGCCTCTTCTTCCTCCTCCTGTGGAGAAGCAGAACATAAGGTTCCCCTTTGAGGGCTAACAAGATTGCTGTCAATAGAATGTACATTGCAAATCTCTGTACTATTCTGATAGCCGAAGTAGTTTTCAACAAGTCCTTGCTTTAATATATCAGTACTACCTTCTAACGAGGGGACCTTCAAGTGTGTAAGATTTTGATTTTTTGTAATGAATAACTTATCAGTTATTTCTTTTTGTTCTAACATTTTATCAATATTCCTTTCACTTGTGTTTCTCATACTATCAGCACAGGAACTTACAGAACCTGAAACAACACAGGAGTTTCCTGGATAAACAATTGCCGAAGGAATTTCACTTGATTTTTCTTCCTCTAATCTTTGGGAATCTTTACATGTATTGTCTAAACTGAATTGTGAGCCGTGAGCATTCATAGCTGTAGCTGTATCTTCAACCAGCTGTTGAGGATCCTTGATTTTTGAGGTTAAGGAAGGCAAACATGAAGTTTCATTGTCTGATTGTTCAAAATATGTTATACAGTGAGGTGGCAAAATATCGGGCTCATCAATATCATCACATTTTGTCAAATCAATTGTTCCCAAGTCTAATACCGTTTCACTGTCCCTTAATTGGCATTCGTGTAAAACGGATATCTTTGAATTTTCCTCAGGGGAAAGATCGTCATCAGAAGGGAGAGAGTTTATAGATGTCAGAGAAGATTGTATTTCACTAACTGCGCTTGTGCTCTCAGTACAGTGACTTTCCATCAGGGTTTTAATAATGACATCTGGTTTTTGCACAAGTTGAGGAAATGCTTTTTCACTGTTGCACATGCTTTGGCCTTGAGGAGTTTCAAAAGCTGTATCTGCACTTGGATGCATTGCAAAAGAACTTGGCTCACTTTCTACACCAGAATCCGAGAACCTAGATGATGCATAGGTATTATTAACATCAGGCAATTTAAGAGTCTCTCCACTTAAAATTGTAGTGGGAATGTCTTTTGTTGATTGATTAGCTGTGGTTAAAGAATCCTCAGCATGCTGGAAGTCTGTTTCTTGCACAACTTTTGTTTCGAGTGATAGTTCCTCTTCTGATTTAGATCTGTTTTCTGATTCTGAACCTTCAAATGTAAGTTCTGCTGTTTTCCCTGATCCAATTCGAACAAACACTTTATCTCCTCCATGTGATTTCCTACAGTATGGTTTCACTTCTATTTTTGTAACTCCAGAGGAACTAATATATTTTTCAGCAACAGTTCTGGATGTCAAGCTGCTATCCTCATGACTGTCATCAATTCCAGTCTGGGAGGTATAAAATGTACCCAAACTGACTGAATCTGCACAGGGAGATGTGACAGAAGTATGCAAGTTTTCCTCATTCTCTTCTAGTTTAATAACTTTTTGTTCAACTTTAAATTCCTTTTGACCAACTTGTTGTGGGGAGGTTTTTGCATCACAGACATGTTCACCAACAGTAGTAATATCCAATCCTTCTTTCTCGTTGTATGAAGAAGTTCCTTCAAAACACTTGGCTATGTCCTCTGGTGCTGCACTTTTCAAACATTTATAGCCTACTAGGACAACAGAATCTTTAGAATTTTGTTTTACTACTTTTTTTGGATTTTCAGGTTTAATTGTTTTTATTAATTTGGTAACCTTAACTTTGGACTTATTGATATCTTCACATTTTCCTTTTGTGGACTTTGTAAACTGCTTTTCACTTTCTGAGGCAACCAAATGCTTGTTTTTCAACTCTGGACTCAAAAAGGTAGCTGTGAAATTATCTTCAGTATCTTGTTTATCTGGTTTCTTGGAATCAGACTTTGGCTGAATAGTTAGCCAGGGAACATCCACGTCTTTTTATTAAGAGACAAAATATTAAAAATAAAATTAGAATAAGCTCATGAAATCAATAGCAAAAGACATTTTACTATATTATGGTAAAGATTTAAAATATATATTAAAGAAGCAATTCTTTCAAGATCAGGTACCTTTGAGATAAAGGCCAACTGCTTATGACTTCTTCATCATATTAGAATAATATTATATTAGTCTATGTAACAAAAAGCAGAAAACTTTTCTGATTTTATCTAGCTTCAATGGAATGAACCCAGAATTCCTTGTACATAAAATATATAAGGTACTTTGGAATTATAGACCTTTAGCAAATTCCCTGAAATCAGATTATAAAACAAAGCAAGGGAAATGTTATCTGGCACGTGACAAAATTTTCAAATGTCAATAAGATTTTAGACGCTTATCTTCTCCCTGCAATGCTATAAACAATTACTTAAATAACTATCTTAAGATTTATTGCCTTTATATGAAAAAAAAAATCAATTGCATTAGCCTATTCTGGTCTTGTTTAATTTCAATTTATTCAATCCTTGTTTTCAATAAGAACCTTGCAAGATAAAAAGTCAAAATTTTATTTAATTCCAGCAAGGTTAACTTCAATATTTCTGACTTACCTTCAGTGACAGAATCTAGATACCGATCTTCAAAGATTATAGGTAAGGAATTCAGATCTCCATCTAATTCACTGCATTCAATTGGGAGAGGTGGGAGAGAACTACAGAATGAAGTGCTTTTTATTGCAGTACACATCTGAAGGTAACTCTGGGCACTGAAAGATACCGTTGATGTTAAAGTAGTCACAAAAAGTAAACATGTAACTTATAGTGCAATTAAAATGTAGTTGTGTTCATGGATTCAATAAATTGTGAACACTAATCAAAATCCAGTATTTTGTATTACTTATAGAAATCATATTCAACCGTATTATTTATACAGGTATATACAGTAATTATACATGTATATCATTTAAACATATATAGAACTGTATCATATTTTATGAAGGCAATCTATCTATATCACCAATAGAAATGGCAGCAGTTAAGCACAGTGTCACTCATGTATTTCTTGGCGGGTACACTTTTTGAACTCATGGCTTAGATAATGTAAACAGCATATTTTATTTTGCCAGTTACCCAAGGAGAGACTTGAAAAATTGGTCCTAACAGTCTCTCATTATACCACTGATTGAGAATGGTATTTAATATTATTACTGAGTCTATTAAAAAAAATCTTCTTTTTCCAGGGAAGGCTATTTGATCCAACAGAAGGTTCTAAGACAGGAAAGGGGTGAAAACAGATTGGCCTTTTTTTCTGTCAGTTTCCTCCTTATCCCTGAATCTGGAGAAATTTCTATCCATCAGAAAGGGAGCAGGAGTTCCTACAATAAGGCATTGTAGGAAAAGAGGGGAACTGCACCAAAAGAACTGCTTCCCACAACTGTTCAAAGAAGACTCCAATGATATAAGATTTCAGTGAATGCCAAGATAGCTTTTGACAAAAGTCACTAAGAGAACTAAAGATACACATTACAGAATATATTTTACTATTTTAAATATTACAGAATTAACTAATTTAAATCAATACAGAACATAAAGACAATAAGTTTATGGATTCTGATTCAATCGTTTTTTTAAAAAGTTACTTACTGAAGCTCTTGATATGCAAGGGCTGCCTCCCGAGGATGTTCAAAACAAAAAAAAGCTTCAGAAAATCTGCGTACCTAAAATGTTTTGAGATATGTTTTAAATTTGCTTTACTTTTCCAAAAAAATACATGAAGTGTACTTATGTCATCATTTTAAAATAATGGTGGTTAATTAATTTTTAAAAAAATAGATATATACAACACTTATGCTTATATAGTAATGCTTATGTATAAAATTATAGGGATTTTTTTTAAAAAATAAGCAATATTTGGCTATTATCTTTTTTCTTTATTGTCAACCAGAGATATATGTAACAGGGGAACATTCAAAGAAAAACCATTGGTTTACACTTAAAGGCTACACATTCTACTCAATGTCTCCAATCTGAAACATTTATTCATAGTAAATATGCTAGTTTTATTTAAAAAAATATTATCCATTATTCTTAGTCATCTAAATTCAACCTCCTAGCCCTCAGTACATTTCCAAACATCATAGATATCCATATATAATAAATACTAACTTCTCCATGTGACTTTCTATGCATCTGAAACTGATTTATTGAAGATCAGCTTATATTTCTATTCCCAGTCCCTGACCTAAAATGCATATTAATTTAGCTATTCCGTTATCCTGTAAGTACATGTTTTTAGTCTACCTCAACTGCTTCTTATCCTGTCTCCTTTTGTAGCAGTTAAAATTAATTATTCATATATTGTACAGGAATTTTATAGTGCAATTCACTGCTTCCTCGAAGTAACTGACTCAGATGCCACTAGAATTCATTTACATGGAATCAAGGTCTACAAATTAAAAGGATCTGTAGGATAACTGGGGAAATGTTGAAGCATCTAATTTAACTTGATCAATACTTACTGTAGTTCCAATATTATCTAGATTACAGATGAAGAATTTAGGCTGATAATAAAGTCTGCTGCCAGTCTTTATTTATGGTATTTTCTAAGGTTTATGTTTAAAATTTTAGTTAGCCAGACAACTTAGTGGTTAAGAATTAATTATCATTATTATCAATATGTTATCAATTTCGGGCTTGACATAGATATTTATAAAGTTAAATAGATTTACACAACTTTAGTAGCTTTAATCCACTGTTAATAACTTTAACCTTTTAGAAAATAATTTATAAACTTAAGGAGTTAACATTTTAATGAGCTAAACTGATATATTTTAACTTTCAGCTTTACTAGAACAGAACTAAAATAAATTTTACTTTTATAAATTGAAAGACAAAAGATAAATACATACACGCATTATATGGTGCTCTTGTGATAATAGTGCAATGACATCATCTTGGAAGTTAACAGATTCCAGAAATTGTCCCCATAAAGCCATCAAGAGAGAGCACAGCTGTGCAAGATTCATGTTTATAAGTTCTGCCAGTTCATCAGGATTTTCCATTTTCTGCACCAATAGAAACCAACAAACCTATAATCCTAGAAGTAGAATGGCTATTATCTGAAAAACTTATACGGATTTTTTTTCAAGTGGCCACACTGAAACTTTTTTTAATATAATTAATTTCTGTCTTTGTTTGAATTACAACATTGAATTACAATTACTTTCAACATCTCAGGTAATTTCCACATTAAGAACCATCTGTGAATGAGACTGCATTTAGGAATTGATTTTCAACAGTGGCTAATCAGATGAGGCTTCTGAAATCCAAGGGAATGGGCAAGGAGACAATAACCCTCCCTCTACATTGTTGGCTCATGGATTCCAATGAATATTGACTTTGAATTTACATTTCCACTTAGGAATAACGCCTAATAATCTTTGAAAAATTTCTGAATCCCCTTTCAGAGATTATGATTGCCACCGTATCATCTGTACACAGCTAAACAAGCTACATCCCCAGCACATAGACATTTTCTATCCTCTCTTCTACGTGGCACTCTACAACTGTTAGAAGTTGTTAATTGAATACCATTATCTTTTTTTCTTAAATTGATCAGTCCTTAACAATTATCATTTTTCTTCAAAAAGAGAGTTCTGTTCCTTTAATAATTTAAGTGTTCTCTTTGGTAAATTTTGTGCCTCTCTGAATACCCTATCAGTGATGATTGACTAGCTTTGGAAAATACATTATGTTATACTTTTAATTTTAGCATTTGCCTCTCCCTTTTTTCTAGTGTTGCTGATATCTATTTGAACACCCTCTTCTTCCTATTGATCAGTGGGTTTTTGAAGCTGGACGTATGTTGATTAGGGGACAATACCTTTATTTCTTCACAGAGTTCCAAAAGGCGTGCTTCTACATCTACATCTACGTTCTCTGAAAAGACCAGTGTATGTAAAATTAATATTCCTAAATTCTAAATAATATGTAAATTACAAACTAAACCACATTTGAATGCATTAGAGATATAAAAAACAAGGAATTTATTTTGACAGTTTTAAAATATTATAAATATCATCTGAAATCTAGTAATTCTTAAAGTGACTTAAGCCATTTTATTTAGGGCCCTTTTTTCTGCAATAATTTCACTGTTAATTATGCTTTTTAAATATTAAACACATATGATAATATAGATTTTTTTTCTTTAGACCTCTTTTGATTATGTATTTTAAAAGGCAACACCGTACAATGCATAAAGATGAAATGTTGAAATTTTATTAAGATTGATATAATCATGAGCTCATGAAAATTATCACTAGAAAAGCAAGTTCGGAAGAATGTGTACTGAAAATCAAAATGGGGTTGTATTTTAAAAATGTCAAAAATTGGGTTGGAGAATTAAGGAATACAAACAGAGGTAATGGAAAAGTTTAACAAACATTATTTTGGAATTCCATTTATCATATGCCGTTGATAAGGATAGGTTGTCATTTTCTGGGATTCTCCTTTTTTTGTTACTGAAAATTTGTTCCTTCTCTCTTAAGATGACTGCCTTTAAACTATGTAGGCAGTAGTTTGACTTACACAGAAGGAATTGGCAAAAATTGTTGCTCCACTTTGGTCAGCAATTGTATCTGCTGGAGCCCATTCTGTTCATGTAACTCAAAACAGAAGCTATTAAATTTATTCAGAATAAAAATCCCTTAGTTGTGGTGCTTGACTTATGATCACAATTGAGACCAGACTTCTGGTCGCAAGTTGTTACACGCATAAATCAAGACACCTAAGTGACTGAACCAAGTGAAAAAAATACAGGTATTGTAAAGTCTTTTCATATATGTAAAGGTAATTGCTAAGGTATTTTTAATAATTCATTAACCTCATTGATAAAAAGGTCTGATATCAATTTAAATTTACTAGGGCATTTTTCAGATTATAATTATACTGTAGATATATTTCTTCTCACAAGAATATAGCTTAAATCCTTTTCTAACCAAAGATTCTTAGAACTATCTTTTAAAATTGTGTAACTGGCATTAAGATGACCCATTTTAGAACTGGACAGTAAAAACCAATAATCAAATTTAGCTGATCTAAGAAACCATACAGGGCTATAGATATGGTTACTATCTGGATGGAAGAGCTCCTGGATATACCAAGACTGTAGGCGTTATTGGGAATTGAAAATCAATTCTTGAAATCTTTATTTTATTTTAATTTTATTTATTTTTATTTGTCAATTGCTTACAAGATAATAGGTACAAGTAAAAACATAGTTATGAATGCATGGATACATATAAGAAAAATAAAAAATATATAAAAGAAACAATAGGACAGGGACGGTAGGCACGTTGGTGCGCTTATGCACGCCCCCTACTGGGAATTCAAATCAAGCTTGATTCACTGGGAATCAAGCTTGATTTGAAGACTCTTATCTTAAAACTTACATCATTCCCAACCAATCGCTATATTAGTTTACATAGAATTTTTTTTAATGTATTTATAAAAATGCCTTTAAACTAGGATTTTACTTGAAAGTATTTTGGACATGTCTATAAATTTGAAGCATTAACTTCCTTAAAAGTCTTTGAAGTTTTCATAAGGGCTGAATTGGTAATGTTTCATGAGAAAATAAAGAAAATATTAGGATATAAAAAGATATAACAGCCTAAGCGTTGTTGTTTTTTTTTTTTTAAGATGTGAAATAACTTTCCAAAAACAGAGCAAGCTGTTTTAGGGTAGTTATATAAATTTTGAAACAAAGGTTTTTATAGATCAATTAGAATTGCAAGCTGGGAGGATTTTATTAGCATCTCCTTCTCAAAAATGCTCTGGAGATTCTCCCACAGATCCAGAGTAAAATTTGAGGACAAGGTAGTGGTCTGCATAGGAGAGAACCTATTTTTCCAAGGCTTACTATTGAAGGTACCACCACTGCATTCAGCTAAAAGTGCCTCTAACTGCTAAATATTGGGAGTTTGACATGAGACCCTAATAGAAACAGAATAAAGATAGCATTCACCCTTCATTTTTCTGAAATGTAACATTCCTTTGTTTTGGCCCAGGATATGAAGAGTTTTGTAGGCTCAACTAAATGTTTACACAAGCTCAGTCAATTCCAGGAATGGGCAGAAAGATCTGAACTTGAAACAAGTTTTTTACCATCAAGAGCTCGGACCAAATTTTTGCATAAACCAGAATTTTGTCACAAGCACAGAACAAAATGTTCCTATGTCCCATAATTGGCTTGTATTTTCTGTAAATTTCCCCACGCTATGAAGCTTACAGTCTACATTAACCAAAAACAAGAGCAGGTTTACTTTGTTGACATTGACTTGAAATAAAAGAGAGAGCAAGGGATCATTTAGGGTAAGCCAGAGCCATCATATATTGCTGCTTACATGAGAAGTAGCTACATGATAAGTAAATTTCATTTTGTTTTTAATTATTCGCTATGGGGAAGTTGTTACTGTTTGTAATGTAATGTCCCTCTATATTTTTGTGTTGTGTACTTTGTGGTAGGTCGCCATTTGGAAAAGTGAACATTAAACTATACTTTGAAGAAAAGCCTCCAATCAAAAGCCTGAGAAGTGTATTTATGTTGCTCTCAGGCTTTTTTCATAGACTGTGTTCAAGAAACACAATGTTGTACTGTTGATTCTTCACTGGGTTCAGTTGTGTATCTGTCTGTTCAAGAAGGCTGGAAAAAGTGCACTTAAGCCAGGGATGTCAAATTCCTGGCCCATGGGCCGGATGCATCACATGCTGGCCATGCCCATGCCTGGTTTTGCGAAGGGGAAAAAAGGCCTGATATGTCACGTGACACCGCCATGACGACATGAGTTTGACATCCCTGACATAAGCTGTTGCTTTCATTGTTTGTTCTTATTATTAGTTTTTTATCTCCCACCTTTTTTATATAACTCAAGGCGGCAAAAATACTTAATAATCCAGCCTCCTATTTTCTCCTGAGAAAGCATAACTGGCCCAAAGTGACCCAGTTGGCTTTCATGCCTAAGGCAGACCTAGAATCTACCTTTCCTGGTTTCTAGGCAAGCACCCTAGCCACTGTTAAGTTGCCATTGATAAGTTGGATAGCTCCTTGCATATTATGTATGTTCTATATTAGTAAATTAGGCTATATCTTAACATATGTTTTAAGGTAGTAATTTCAAGACAAAAGTGCGGAGCATGTATTATGTATAAAATATGGAAGAAAGGGCTTGTTTTAATCTATGAATCAATAGAATTAATGATTATTAATTAATTTTTTACAGTTGCATGTTTTCAATATGCATGTGAATTCTTTAAGATACAGCAACAGGAGATAGTATCAAAATATTGGGAAGTCCTCCAGGCAACTAGGCTAAGGAGCACCAAAATTTGCAGGGGAATGAGGAAAGATAATGAAATCTGTATGACATCAACATGCAAATGCATATGATTTATGTATTTATGTTAGATGTCAGGATGCAAGTATGTGGTGAAGGCATTTGGATGATGTTGTCACATCACAGCATGTGTTGTCATTTTGATGTCATTAGTGTGCCGCAGATGCTGCTAAAGGACATATGATACAAATGAAAGAATTTGCTGAATAATTATTTTATTTTTAAAACATCTAGAGCCAGTTGAATGAACAAATTAGGATACTCATCCCAGTGATTATTCCAGCTTAAGGCAAACAGATACCAAAAATGCAGTGCTTTTTCCACTTACAGCAAAATGGATTGTATCTTAAAGTACAATTATGTTCCTAAGCAGACTAACATAGAACTGCAACTCGGTTTTTTGGCCTTCTGTAATTTAAGACAACCAAGAACATATTCTTCCTTTATCTTTTTAATTAAGAAGTTCAAAATGTACAAGAAAGCCACTATTTATTAATAAATTGTAATTATACAGTGCATTCAGAAAGTATTCAGACCCCTTCACTTTTGTCAATTTTGTTATGCTGCAGCCTGATTTTACATTTGTTGAATTTCATTTTTTTTCTCATTAATCTATACTCAGTAACTCATGACAAAGTGAAGATATAATTTGAGAAATGTCTGTAAATTTATTAAAAAGAAAAAACTAAAATATCACATTGGCACAAGTATTCAGACCCTTTGCAACAACATTTCAAATTTACCTCAGGTGCCCCCATTTATCTTGCTCATTGCTGACACACCTTGATTGGAATCAACCTGGGGTAAATTAAATTGATTGGACATGATTTGGAAAAGCACACACCTCTCTATAGAAGGCCTTATAGCTGACAATGCATACTGTAGCAGAGCAAAAGCCATGAGGTCAAAGGAACTGCCCGAAGGACAACCATCACTGCAACTGGACTTTATGGCAGAGTGTCTAGACCAGGGCTGTCAAAGCTGAGGGCCAGATACGGCCACCCCCCCACCTGGTTTATCAAAGGGGAAAAAAGTCCCGATACGTCACATGATGCTGCGAGTTTGACACTCCTTGTCTAGACGGAAGCCTCTCCTCAATGCAAAACACATGAAAGCCCACTTTGAGTTTGCAAAAAAAGAACCTGAACACTGAGGAACAAGATTCTCTGGTCTGATGAAACCAAGATTGAACTGTTTGGTTTCAATTCTAAACATTATGTCTGGAGGAAACCAGGCACTGCTCATCACCTGCCCAATATCATCCCAACAGTGAAGCATGGTGGTGTGGGGGTCCTAAAGATGCCCTGTGTTCCTTCACTATTGAACACAGACGCAGGCTGTTGAGGATGAGCGTCTGCCTCTGAAACTGAAACACAAATGGTTCTTATAATCTGCATGTCTTTCTGGAAATCTGTTCATACTCCTGCACCATTCGAAGGGTGTTCATTCCAAAGTGCACCATTCCTCACCATCCAATCGGAGCTGAAGAAGCTTCTTGGATAAGAAGCAAAACGTCTTCAAAGAAAAACAAGGAAGTCCAGCTGGCTCTTGAAAAAGGACCTTTGGGACAACCAAAATCTGGATGATTGAGAATCTCCATAGACATTTAGCTATGCACTTTGGGATGAACACTCTGAATGGTGCAGGAGTATGAAGAGATTTATTTAAAAAATTGCAGACTACAAAAACCATTTGCACTTCAGTTTGAGATGTAGACAATACAGACTCATTATCAATAGCCTGTGCCTGTGTTCAACAGTGAAGGGATACATGGCAGAAAACATCCTGGAAAAAACAACAGCTCCACAACACAATACTTTCAGCAGTTACAAGAAGGCTCTACATCCATTTGCATCACTCAGGTGATCCCAAGGAAACAGACAAACCTCCAAGTGGCCTCAACACTCTCTAAAAGAATGCAAATGACCAGCTGTCTGCGAGGAATATAAATCCTTCCATTTCCCACCATCCAGTCAAAACTGAAGAAGCTTCTTGAATGCAAAGTGAAATGTCTTTAAACAAAAACAAGAAAGTCCAGTTGCCTCTTGAAAACAGTATCTTTGGGACAACCATGACCTAGATGACGGAAAATCTCCATAGACATGCTGTGGGGGTGTGTTTTTCAGCAGCAGGGACTAGGAGACTAATCAGGTTTGAGGGAAAGTGAATGGAGCAAAGTACAGGGATATCCTTAATGAAAACCTGTTCCACAGCGGTCAGGACCTTAGACTGGCCCAAAGGTTAACTTTCTAACATGACAACAATTCTAGCCAAGCAACACAGGAGAGGCTTAGGGACAACTCTGTGAATGTCCTAGAGTGGATCAGCCAGAGCCCTGACTTGAATTCTATGGAACATCTCTGGAGGAACCTGAAAGTGGCTGCCCACCCAAAGTGACCATTCAACCTGTTTGAGCTTGAGAGGATTTGCAAGGAAGAATGGCAGAAAATCCCCCAATCCAGGTGTCCAAAGCTTGTCCTGTCATTACTCGAAGCTGTAATTGCTGCCAAAGGTACTTCAAAAAATATCGAGTGTTGGGTCTGAAGATGTATGCCAATGTGATATTTCAATTTTTTCTTTTTAATAAATATACAGACATTTCTAAAATTCTGTTTTCACTTTGTTATTACGGGGTACTGAATGTGGATTAATGAGAAAAGAATGAATTGCAACAACTGTAAAATCAGGCTGCTGTATAACAAAATTGACAAAAGTGAAGGGTATGTGAATATTTTGTGAATGCACTGTATATAAAAGCAACAATGGGATTCCAAATAATATCCAAAAGAGCATATTGAACTGGATCCTTTTCATGAACAGAAATGCTTTTGCAGTTTGTCTCGCTTTGACAGAAGACATTTCAATTCAGTGGCTGCTCCTACTAAAAGAGATGTAATGGCTATTTGATTTTATTTTTCCCTTGACATTTCTAGCATCACCCCAAATGCTCTTCAGGAGAGTATTATCTCCAAATCCTCCTGCTCTTTTCTTTTTTATCAGAACATCTTGGGATCAGAATTTCATGTATGGGGAATCTGAATTCAAGTCATTGAATATTTGCACTTATAGCATAAGCATGTATGATTATTTTGTCTCATGCCTGGAAGTAGAGCCAGATATTATTACAAAGCATGCTTTCAGAAGGACAAATAGGTAGGAGAAACTGAACTTTCAGTGAAAGTATCTCATTTCATTAACACTGTAACTTCAGACAAAGCTGGACAGAGCCTTAATTTAATATATTTATTATGCTAATTGATCCTTGGCCCTTGGGTTGAATTGCTCTTTAAGGATCATTGATCTTCTGTAAACATGAAATAATAGGTATTATTTACAAACAGTAATATAATTTTACTATAATAAATCCTAATGGGTTATAAATATAACCCACTTTTTAAAGAACATACCTAGATAGGCGTCTCCCTGGATTCGTAGATATTTTCTTCTGAGAAGACGTTCATAAAGGACCTGCATGCTGGACTTGGCTAGTTATAGGGATTGTACACATGACTAGTTACTACACTCTTCCATTTGTGCTTATTATTATTATTACTAGCTTTAAAGTTAATAAGAAAGCTTATAATTTGCCTACTAATTAGTGAAATTAGATAAGAAAATTAAAGAATAGAATTTAGTAGATTTCTAGATCTGGAGTTGATGATGTACATTATGGCTGCTTGGGGCTTATAATTAGTTTGGAGTTTAATCTGTTAATGAAAGATTGTTCAAATGCTAACAATTTTTGTTATTTTAATAGAATAGGGTGGAACATGATTTGTTCAAAACTTCTCTCTTTTTGTAAGACCAAAAAAAGCCAATTATAAAAATAAAAATGTACATCAGAAAAATAAGAAAACAGAAGGCAAAAAGAAAGTATACAATGCAAGGCAATTAAAAAACAAACAAACAGAATGATTTCAGATTCTTTTTGCTAGAATCCCATTTGAATCAAATTTCTAAATGGTGTACAACAAATACCCCATTATTTTATGATAATAATTCAAAATACTACATTTTTCTGCTTATAATCTGAACACACATTTCAGGAAGTAAGGCAGTATCTCATCCAAACTTACATACGTGCAACTTTGATTTGCACTCAGTATGTTTAGCAATAAGTTTTGTAAGTTCATGTTAGTAATATTAGTACACATCACCAACCCAGTAAATGTCCTAGGCATAACAAGTTTTTTTTCATATGCACAGGCAAAATTAAAGTATTGAATAAATGAACCTAAAAATCAAAATAGAATATTAAACAGAAAATGTCAGCAATAAAACATAATATATTGAAGAATCCTCCTTTCAATTCTAAACTTTTTTTTTAGAAACAATAATTGGCTAACTCATGGATTCCATTTAATTCCTGCAAAGATTAGAGTAGGTTCATTTAAATAATTTTTTGTGGGGTAACTTATTATTGAAACATAACTTTTAATCTTAAGGAAAGTATTTAGATATTTTCCTTAAATAATTCATAAAACTAGATAAATGTATGTACAACTATATGATCAAAATATACCCTTACAAATTATTACCACAGTATAATGTATTGTATACACAGTACTGTGTATACTGTATACACAGTATAATGTACACATTAATGTATAATGCACAGAAACAATTCATTACAGAATACAAGGATTTTATTAGTAACACAACCAAATGCTATATCCCAATTTATGCATCAATTCAGGGGTATATTTTTCTATTCTAGTGAAATGTTAGATGAGAACAACAACCTATAGTCTAGAAAGGTGCAGGGATTTGCATCTTCAGTGGAAAAAGTGCTTCAGAGAAAATAGGTGCACACTACTGCATTTGGTGACACCTTAAAGAAGCCATGCCTTTGTTTAAGTAGATGACCAGAGAATGTAAGAATTTGGTTGAATCTTGATTCCTCAACTAAAATAAACATTTTTGTGGGATGAGGTGGCTGCAGTGAAAATCCAGGAAAAGGTGTGTGGCTTTTTGAAGAAGGTATTGACAAATGTAGTATGATTCTATGTTCTCTCTGAAATATTTTTCCATGTCAAATTCAAGTATCTGCGGATAATTGCTGGAGTCTTAATGTACAATAATAGATTTTAGCTGTTGCATTATATGCTATTGCATATAAAACTAGATTTATGGAGACTACTAGTTTGTTGTGATCAGCCTGTACACCTGTTGTAAATATAATACTCTGTACATGTTAACCCTTTCTAGGAGCATGATCAGATAAATTAACCAAAAATAGAAGGCATACTTTTTTGTCCATATCTAAGTCCTTGGATTGCTGTATCATTTTCCATATCAAAGTGGCAAAAGTAGGCTTTTTTAAGCTAAAATTCGTATGTTTAATTATTATGCAGAGCCACACTAGCATTTCCTCATTTCTGAAGTTCCTTAAAATCACACCATTGAAATTTAGAAGCATGGTTAGGACTCATTTGGGATATGGCTTCTAAATGTTATGGCTTCAATCTACTTTATAAATAAATCTAAAAATCTAAATAAAATATTAAACAGAGAAATGTCAGCAATAAAAGCATAATGTATTAAGAACTCTCTATTTTAAAGTTGATTTTTATCCAAGGTAGTAATTGGTTAATTTGTAGCCCTTAGTGAGTAGGAAAGGTAGTGTGACCCCAGCTGCTGTCAGCAAACAGAGACAAGCATGAACCAACATGCAGCTCATTCATAGTAAACTAGATTGTCCAGAAATGTAGCATAATATTGAATCTCAATGCAGCTGCTAACTTTCTAATTCTGTCAACTACATTAAATCTTGAATAACTGAAGTTCCAAAAAGCAGTTTACTGTAGATTCGTATAAAACTGCAAATACAACTGGGTCTTTCTTTGTCATTTAAACCATTATATCAATAAAGACTAACTTGCTATTGCATCCACTACTAAGGAGAGTGCACAATGATCATCACACTAAAAATCAGATGAATGATGATACTCCTTCTGTCTCAATTTTTTTAAGTTGGTTTATGTGAATCTATTTTACTTTTTGGTTTTCAATCAAACTGACTCTTGAATTGCATGAGAGATGGGATGAACAAGAAGCATACAGGCAGTCCTTGTCTTATAACTGGGATCAGAACCTCCGTCATTAAGCAATCTGGTTGTGATGTGAGTTGTGCCCAATTTTATCACCTTTTTGCTGTGGTTGCTAAACAAATCACATGATTATTAAACGAATCTAGCTTCCCCTGCTGACTTTGCTTATCTGAAACCTCCTGTGAAGGTAGCAAATGCTGATCACATGACCTGGGATGCTGTAACCACTGTAAATACATGCCAATTACCAAGGGCCCAAAATTTGATCCTGTGACTGCAGAGATGCTGTGACAGACTTAAGCCATAAGAACTAGTCATAAATCATTTTTTAATCACCATAGCTTTGAATGGTCATTAAATAAATGGCTGCAAGTCAAGAACTACCTGTACAAGTACTTGTCTTAAAAGTGACTTTATATTTATCTCCGGGTCTCTAAATCCTAGGCTAATCCTGTATTAGGAATATAAAAGTTATATAATATTATATCACCACTGTATACAATACACAGAGATGATACTAAATCACTGTATCATGTGACATGGCTCCAGAAAGGACTATAAACCCTTCATTTGAAATAAAACTGTTTTCTAAGTGTATATCCTACTATATTATGTAGAAAGTTTCAGCTTTTAATTCTTACTGTTATTAATGCAAATACATTTGAAATAAAATGTTTTGCAGATTGTAATTTATTTCGAGGAGCACACAGTATTTTTATTAATATATTGCATAATTATAACATTAATATAAGTATAAATATAATGTGGGTGCTCTAATACATTATATGAGAAAATAAGGTAAAGTTTACATTTTGAAGAAATTGTAAAAAAAAAGGCTACATAATTAACTCTATGGGCAGTATTTCTTATTGTATTATCTATATCCCAAGGTGTATCTTAGTACAGTGGCATATATTGTAAGCTGTGCCATAGAAGGAAAAAGATTTTGACATACCTGCATCTAATTTGTGACAAGAAGGCAGTTCATTTGATAAATTGGTAAAATAACTGTGTAATCCTTTGAAAGCGAGCAGCAAACTGGCACAAAGTGTATGGTGAAGACTGTAAGCATGATTCAAGAAAGGCTCTGCTATTACAAACCTGCAACCCTAAAAATGGATTTATAATTTTTTAGTCATAAGGAAACATCAACATTTTATTTCAAGTTTAAAGACAATGCTTAAGATATTACCCAAGGCATTACTTTTATGTAAGCTTTTTCCACTCACCTACCCACAACAAACATCCAAAGTTAAGGTAATTCTGGGAGGGAGGGAGGAAGGAAAGAAGGAGGGAGGAAAGGAGGGAGGGAGGAAGGGAGGTTTCCTATGAACATGTCCTAATTCTAGAAGTCTTATTCAGTATTACAGTGAATTTCTTTGTTAAAAAGTTTACTATTTAGGATATATTTCTCAGTCAAATAAATCAACAAAAACAGCTGCAATATTACAAAAATTATCTAGTACATAACATCATGACCAGTATTTCTAGTATGCAATATTTTAATACAGCAATATCTACTCCATGTAATGTTTTGCTTCTTAAAAATTATTCTGTAAATGGCTTGTGCTGTTCAATCTATTAGAAAGAAAAAATAATTCCAGTCTTACATCAGCTGATAATTGCTTGGTGTAATTGTTGCCAAAGACAACACTTTCAAGAGAAGGAATCACAGAATCCCTGCTCTGTGCTGGTGCATTTCTGTTTAACCAAGTATTCTTTATAGGGCGAGGAAAGCTAAAAACAAATGAGGGCAGAATTAAACATTGAAACAAATATGTGCAAAGTCTGCAGGAAAGATCGATAATAGAAAATTAAAACTTGATACAAACTACTAGTTCAGTATTTGTTGCAACTAGTGTATTAGCCCATATACTGCACAGAATATGACAATGTATAAAACTAAACATTATGTAAATTATTGTAAATACAGGTGTCCTTGACTTACAACCACAATTGAGACCCAAATTTCTGTTGCTAAGCAAGACAATTGTTAAGTGAATACTGCCCCATTTTCTTGTAACAGTTGTTAAGTTGTTAAGTGAATCAATGCAGCTGTTAAGTTAGTGCTGTTGTAATTTTGAATGGTCACTAAATGAAGTGTTGTAAGTTGAGGACTACCTGTAATATTTTAGATAATTGTAGATGGATGAATAGCTAAACAGTTGCTTAAATGTGAACAATCTTAGAAGGTGAGTCATCTTAGTGGTGATTTTTAAAAGTATTTTTGAAAGTTTTCATTCAACTGAGAAATGTAAGTCTAAGTAAGAAAGAAAGGTAAGATATTGAAAATATATTGAAGTTACTGTAATTATTTTTTTTACTGTAATTTTACCAATTCAACCTGTTATTTACTTTTAACAATTTCTGCTAACTAATTATTTTTGAAAAATTAAATGATCACATTATAAGCTTACAACCAACATATATAAAAAATAACTACATCTGAATATCAAGATGTAGAGAAAACCAAGTGTTTTTTGCCAAAATAAACAGTATGCACATTTGAGAGGAGATACAGAAGTTAATTCACTTGTTATGTTTATAATTTTGAAATGGTATAAGAAAAAACAAAAGAGAGTATTAAAATATTCCAGGGTCTAAACCCACCCCCAATGTAATTGATCATATTTTTCATTAAAAGAACAAGAGTTTGTTCTGCTTTCTTTTTTTGCTTATAATTCCAAAATTAGGTCTCTTTCAAATGTGCTTAGTTAAGTAAAAAGCAAGGGTTTGTATAAACTTAACAAATGTAACAACGGGAAGTGCATTTCATGAATAATGAATACTACAGCACTATGATCTAGTGGAAGCACACACTCTCTTGTTCCAGTAGCAGATGACATCTCTGAAGCAGCTAAATGAAACTTATAAATGATGCAACTTCTTTAAGTCTTTGAACAGAAGTGCAAATGCACTTTGCAAAACACTTACTTAAAATGCTTTGCATAGCCCTACTACAAAATTTAATCTTTTCAATGAATAAAATAAAAATGCACTTTGCAAAGCAGTTATTTCAAATGCTTTTCATAGGCCTACTACAAAGTTTAACCTTTGCAATGAATAAAACTGCTAGGATAGCAGTACAAAGGATACCTATGGACTTTTAGGATGCCACACTATCTGACACATAACTCGTAAGTTTGTTGTTGGTAGGACAAATGCAAGTTCATAAGCTGAACAAAAAGTATAATGAGATGTTTCAAGCTATAACTCCATACATAGCCTGTGTAATTTTAATATATTTTCTCCCTTTGCCAGTCCTATTCTACTATGCTAATTTAGAAATAATTTCACATTCGGTTGTTTGCAGAGAACTATACTTTCTTCAGATATCTTATGTCTATACTATTTCTACTAGACATGGTTTCATATTAAATTAAAAAATAGTTTGCAGCAACACACTCAATGCAAGAGAAATATATACTCAAATAATGATCAATTTAGGTAATATCTTTTGTCCCAGAGAAATATTTACACTAACAAGTAGGATCTTTCATATTAACTACCCATGATTCTCTGCAAATGACCATGCTAGCTAAAGCTATTAAGAACTGATATTTGACAGGCACCAGTAGATGTACTCTGTCCAAAATATGTACCATATTTTTTGCACTATAAGACACTCCTGACTATAAGGCACACCTAGCTTTTGAGGAAAACAAGAAAAATCTGCCTCTGCCTCCCAGCAATTCGCTTCCTTGCAGCAAACAGCCTGGACAGCTTCAGCACAGCCTGATTTAACATAAGCAGCTGATTGGTGATTGGAAACAAAATAGGAATAAATTTCATCACATTAAAGTATTGAAAAACAGAACATTTCTAGTCATTACCTTATCAATGGCTGATGAAGAGCAACTAAAGAGGCATGCACTATAGCAGAGATGACAGAAAGGTGAAAGTAATCAAACATAACATTAACGTAGTGATGAAGGCCTCTGTGTAAAGTAAAGTGCAACTTTAGCGTTCGGCTGCTAATTAGCTGCAAAGTGTTCAGGTCCTCTGGTCTAAATGAAAAAGAGCATAAACACAGGCAAAGAAGTGTGTTATTAGTTTAAAAGAACAAGTATACAACATAAATTATTTTAAAAATAATTTAACACTAGGATTAAGAATTCAAGAATACAAAGCAATGACTGAAATCTTCTATAATATATAGTTTTTGTAATGTCTTCTGCAGCCGGCAAGGCTTTCATGAAGGCCTCTGTAACTGATAACAAAGCTCCGAATTGATCTGGAGCTCTGTTATCAGCTGCAGAGGCCTTCAGGAAAGCCTTGCTGGCTGCAGAAGTAGTAGTTCCTGAAGGCCTCTGGCAGCGAAAAGGAAACGGGGCTACGCGCACTGGATGACATCCCCTGAAAATAAGACCTGGTGCCTTTTTTGGTGGCAAAAAAATATAAGACAGGGTCTTATTTTGGGGGAAACACGATGTGTAATAACAAATTCAAATGTAAGCAAAAAAGGCAATCCCAAAACTAATAACTAGAAAATCCTTAATTTAGTTTTGATACATTTATTTAATCACAATAATTTTTACAATTTATATCATTTTATATAGCCCAGTCTAGAAAGTAGTTTTGAATGAAAAAAATTAAAAGTTTTTAGAAGTCCATAATAGATCAAAAAAAATCACACAACCATTGACTTTCCTCTTATTTCAATATTAAGGACAGGTTAATACAAGAATGAGTTCAGTGCTTATAACTTTACAGTACATGAACAGTGATCAAAGGAAGAATTCCATGAATACATTGATGCACACAGAACTAGTGTGTATAATGTGACACATAAAACTCCAGCTGAAAAATATAAATACTCTATGTAATTGTATCAAGACCAATATGTAACTGAGCTTTGAACTTACGAATAATCTGTATCTGTGAAGTGCAGATCTAAAGACAGTAGGAAATTCATTTCATTTAGAGACTCTTCAATCTAGGAAAATAAGTTATACAAACTATGATTTGCCATGCATTCTCATGTTGAAAGCCACAATATTTATATATTTCTTTTCATTTGCTCATAATTACGAAGTTGTTTACGATAAATTAAAATACTTTATTACAAGAGGTTACTATGCACGACAAAGCAGCAGATAGAAAAGCAAACAACAATGCTTTTAAATGTTACTAGTGCAATTTAATATATTGAGTGAATAAAATACTGGACAGTAAATCCACTACTGTTTGTACAAAATGGATCTATGTGTTTTAAAGTTCTATATATATAACATGCTATTCTGTCTGCTTCAGTAATCCAGGGCTTTGGTGTTTTGTTTTGTTTTGTCTGTTCACTTGCCAGGGAACATAAATCATTTACAACCAAGATGCATGGCATGGGACCAGTCATTCTCATTCCATGCTGACAGAATCAAATTGACAATACTGGCAGGTAATTTGGCCCATTGGATAAACAATCGAGAATACAAAAGAAAAATAAAGGGCAGATGAACAATTGTCTTGATAACTGGATCTGAAATGACATGCACCAAATATCCCAATTTTTCTCACAGAGCTGTCACTGCAAAGATAAAACATTCTCTAGAGACAATGAAAGGAATGGATCCAGCAAGTAGCTGGGAAGCCAAGCTCTACAGGCCAATTTGCACTTTTGGATCTTGCCTTTTCAGGTTTCCAAAGGGAAAAAAAAGTAGGTGCATATTCCCCACAAATGTAACTGTGTCATAGCTAAACATTCCTCTATTTAATTCCTCAACTATATAAAGAGAATACAATTACCTATGCTATTTATATCAATGAAGTTTTTATTCACTTTATAGGTAGACCTTATGACTTGTTGCTTTGTGACCATTCAAAGTTATGATGGACCCCCTCCCCACAGGTATTTATGATGTGGTCTGAATTTCTAGTGGATAGCCCCCCCCCCCCCCCAGCAGTTTGTTTGTATTTCAGGCACTTGGCAACCTGTCTGCATTTAGGGCTATTTATAATTTTCCAGTTATTACCAGGATATAGGAAATTTTGCCGAAAATCAGTATTTATAGGTGGTTAAAAGGGAATAATTGGGAGAGATAGGTGAGTAGGGGGAGTTGGAAGTAGTCCTTGCCTTTTTTAATGTTTGGAGCTGAGGGTGACTAAGCCTAGAATGTAGGTAGGTACTTGGCTAGCAAGCAGTAAAAACCACTTAACAATGGCAACGGGGATTGCCCACATTGGGTCACCAAGTGATGCAGTCATGTGACATCTCACTTATGACTGCATTGCTTTGTTAGCCAAATTTTGATACTAATTGTGGTTTTAAGTAAAGGACTACATGTACTGGTATGCTTAGAATCAAAGAGAAAGTGGCTTCTGGTTTGAGTCTCTTCGGCGACAGACCGAAATCCGCGATCGTGCGCGGTTTCTATCTGTGCTCGCCGCCAGAGTGCCCCGAGCCAGCTGGTTTCGGGGCTAAGCCACCCTGTAGAGGTGGTGAAGAAGGGGGAGACTGCCAACAGGGTCGAGGAGAGCCGCATCTCTCTTCCCCAGCTGGCCATTACTCCCTTTCCCGAAGGCGGTTGCAGCGGTGGTCAGAAATGGCCACCTCAAAGAAGAACTGAACCGGAAAAGAATGTGCAGGAGGAAGATAAGAAGAGAAAGTTTTGGTTGACTGGGTTAAACTGAAAAAGCAACAACGTAAGGTACCCTGGAATTTAAATTAAATAACATTGTTCCCAAAGAAGATTTTGAAGCTGTGAAGGAGAGAGAGAAGGGAAAGGATTAGGTTTTTTTTTCTTCCCTTCCTTATACTGACAGCTAAGAGACTTAAGCAAGAAATTGAAAAAAAATCCACTTTGACATTAATAGGCATCTAAGCTGAAAATAAAAGTCAAAGGGATAATAAAGATTTCTGGATATTTAAAAGTTTTTAAAAGCAGGAAAGAGGGGAAAAAAAGAATAAAAGGGCAGGATCTGGAAAAATGGAGGAGACTGCCTGGAACTAAGGAATCAGGCATGATATTCCCCTCTGAAAAAAAAATCGGGGCCGGCCAAAAGAGACCCCCCCACCGCGCGCCAAGAAATTGCTGCCCAGCTCCCTTTTCCTGCCGCTCAGCGGGCTCCGCTCACACCGTCTGGGCTCCGCTCAGGTATCCGGCTGGGGCTGTCAGGAGTTGCTTCCGCCGGTGCGGCTCCGCGCGGCTCCAGTCCCGCGTTGCCTCGGGAAGGGAAAGGCAAAACCAGGAGCCGCTGCTGCCGTTGCAAAGCCCCGCCGCGGCTCTTCCTTTTTGCCTTTCCCTTCCTGAGGCAACGCAGGACTGGAGCCACGCAGAGCCACGCCAGCGGTAGCAACTCCTGACTCGGGGCCTCCGAGGGGAGGGGAAGGAGGAGGAGAAGGGGGGAAAGGGGGGGCGATTCCCAAAAAAATCGGAATTCCGATTTTAATCGGAAGAATATCATGTCTGGGAATGGAACTGTAACTAAAAGAAACTTACAGTGAAATTTTAACAAGATTCCTCAAAGATACATTTTAACTGAAACTTGGTAACAAAATAATAGAACCCCAGGAAGAGAAAGTGGAAAAAAGAAGCAAGAAGAAACAGCCTTGGATTATTTGGATTACTTGGTGATTTTTGGTTCTTGCATCTAGATGACTAAAATTAATCGGGTGGTTGTTTAAAAGTCTTTAAAATGGTATCACTCTTAGAAGAACTGAAAATGGAACTTAAAAAATGGAAAGAAGATGCACAAGAAGGGAGAGGTTCTTTTGGCTTCGTATATCAATTCTTAGAAATGGAGATCTGGAACTATGAGAAACAACAAGAAACGCTTGCAGAACAAGAAGATTGGGACAAAGAAGAAGCCATCTTTAATGATCAAATAATTTTAAGTGGGGGGGGGGAAAGAAAAGGGGGGAAAGAGAGTGAAAGGTTTAAGACTAGAAAAAACAACCAAAAAGAAGAACAATTTGAAAGATAAGTATAATATTAGAAAGCAACAGAAGAGGGGATTACAGATGAGAGAGTTAGAGACATGTAGAGAGTAGAGAGACGAGGGAGTAAAAAGGGGAGGGAGAAGAAGAGGGGGAAGAAGGCAAGGAAAAGAAGTTGTAAAAGACAGAAACAAGAAATGGAGAAACAGGGAAAAGATATAAGGATTGAAACCATAAGCTTGTTTAGAGATAATGGGTGAAAATTTAATTGTAAAAGGGATTCTGCAAAGGTACATAAGATAGCATTGTTATATTACAAACAGAAATAATTTTAGAAAATAAATGGATAAAAAATGATGGATAAAATATTTACTGTAATGTAGTGGAATGTTTGTTAATAATAAATGAATTAAAGTGATTGAGAGAATTAAATGGGAACATTTTAATTATTAATGATTTATAAAAATATAAGTGAGAAATATGGGGAAAAAAAGAATTAACTATGGAAAGTTTATAAGTGTTCCCAAGGAAGTATGATATTTAATTGAAAAGAAATGTTAAAGATGTTAAGATTTTAATGAGTATTAATGATAGAATTAAATTGGAATGGAATGTGTGTTTTATTTACATATATATATATATTTTTCTTTTTAAGAATATAGTGTGTATTTTAAGAATGTACCAAGCAGAATTCGATTGGAAGTTATATATTATATTGAATGCTATAATCTTAAAGGTATACATTGAAGCTTAAATAAGAGTTTGAATGGATAAAATTAAAAGATATAAAGGTGTCATACTCCAATTGGTAACTACAGGGAAAAATTTGTTTAATAAGAAAAGATAATATGAAATTGAAACAGGACAGACAAAAGTATAAATATAATGATTTGAACTGAGATGAGATAATTAAAATAAAGTTGAGAAAATTAAAAGAGGGGAAAAACTATGTAGAAAATATAAAACGGTAATAAGATATGGAATAGAATATAAAAATGAGCATGAAATTGAGTTTTGTGTCTGTATGAAGAAGTGATAACCTGGGACCATGCTATTTTCAAAAAATGATGTTTTATTTGTATTTTGTTTTTGTGAAAACCCAAATAAAATTTTCAAAAAAAAAAAGAATCAAAGAGAAAGTCACATTTTAACCATTTGGACATTCCTGTTATCATTTAGGACAGGGGTGTCAAACTCAAGGCCTGCAATTAGTCGGATCTGGCCCGCGGGGCCGTCCCGGTCTACCTGCATCACTTTGCCCCAGACTACCCAATGAAGACAGGAAAGATCAGGCCAAAGTAGCTTCGGCCCTGTCTACCTGATTAGGCCAACGTGGCTTCGGCCCGATCTATTCAATACAAAGAGGAAACATGCCAGCAGTTTGGGGAGTGGCGTCAAGCTGGCCATGCCCACCCAGTCTCGCCCCCCCCCCCAGTCACCCACGCCCCTCCAGTCCCCTCCAAGGTCAACCACTGCCTTGATGCAGACCTCACTGAAACTGAGTTTGACACCCCTGATTTAGGAGAATCGTCTCTACACTAGTTCACATAGTACCTATGCATAAGAGAGTAAAAATGTCTTTGCTTTGAAAATAAATTAAATTTAAAGGGGAAAAACAATTCACATTTATTTTTATTTTTAAGTTTGATAAATAACTTTGAAGGGATCCAGCAAGATTTTGATAATCTGGTGAATTATGAAACATTGTCTATTCCCCAAACTATGCTTACACAGTGAGAGAGAGAGGAACACCAGGCTAGGTAGGATGATAGCATCAGGCCATCCCAATTTCTTTAGTATCTTGGCTTGCTACTCGCAGAAACAGCATTGAATTGCTTATTTATTGATTTGAAATATTCATCTTCCTCCCCACTCTTCTAATGGCTCTGAGCTTCCTGAATGCTTTGGTTGTCTATTGACTTACACAGAATTTTGGAATAGATTAGCCTTCATTTACCAGAGCTTTTCTTACATTATATGGCAGTCACCCATACAGAACTATTATCTATCTATCTATCCATCCATCCATCCATCATTAGTTAAGCAGATGCCAGTATTACCTTTCTTTCATCCAATAGCATTTTAATTTTGAAGATCATTGCATCATTCACACAGACCTCTTCATTTTTATAGAGAATCTGAAATGTTTTACTGCAGACTACATTGTCATGGACAGAAGCTGGGAAGGCAAGATCAGCACCTGAAAACAAGAAAATTGACAAGTAGTCATCATGGTTCAAAATTTATTGCTATTCACAAACTGATAACTGAGATTTTTTAAAAGACTTTCCCCCCCAAACAACTAGATATATTGTAATAAATTATTTACCATTATCATATAACATAGTTAATATTCAGCCATTCAAAAGCATAAACACTGGATCTTGACGCATTAAGGAACAGAATGCTTAGTTAACTTCATGGTTATTTAATATTTGTAAATTCCTCCCACTTCCAAAAATAAAAGTCCAAAAAATACATAAAACTGGTAATGTCAGTAACCAGTAATATTAATAAAAGGAAAGTGTAGGAGAACCACAGCACACCTTAAAGATCAATGCAGCCATTGTTTTTGTGTGAATAAATGTGTGCATGGCAAGTGTCCATAATATTTTTAGGAAACCATTGTTAAATTTAGCAACATTAGTATTTCTGATTTGGTCTGAAGAGAAATTCTAGAAACACACTAAGTATTTTGAATTCAAAATATTCCAAATTTGAAATGGCTTACTGTTTTGACCTAAAAAAATTGTTTGAATTTACATATCAGCATGCTGATATTTTTCCAACTATTCCAAAAGTTTTAAGTATTACCAGAATGGAATATTGTGGAAGAAACGTATTTGTAAAGACTAAAACATGTATAAACATTTTGAATTCAAAGTGACTTTCATATAACTGTAAAAATTCCTTTAAGGTTTATGAATTTTTAACAAAATCTAGTTAACCTATACAATTTCACAATAGACAACTACAAAAAAATAACTGCAAATACAATTTTGGCTGTTTTTCTCTATTTGTTTTTTTCATTTCTTCAGAAGCCTTAAAATGCACACCTGCCCCGATTTCTCATAAATATTAAGATCAATTCATTAAAATATTTAATATATAATGTAATGTTAATAAGCTGATAACTTTTTAGTAAAAGTACTATTAAACAATAATAATAACGCTTAAATACTAATGAAATATTTATACTTACTAGTTGCCCGTAATAAGCTTGCTTCAATTTTGTGTGGTATTCTTGGAGGAATTTTCATAGATGCACGAATTTGATAGAATCTACAAGACAGAAAGAATATTTCTAGAATTATTCTGTTTATGATATATTCACCTTTTAAACACCTTACCACAACTTTATACTAATATGGTTTTCAATACAATTTACAGAAAGTATAAAAATAATATAAAAATTACAAAAGTCAACTATTTACACGTGGAGAGTACAGAGTTTGCTGCTGAAAATGCCATGCACATTAAGTGAACCCATTGTTCACTATGGCACAATTTTGCCAGAAACCAAAAGTAAAAGTGTCATAAAACAGCTATGTGACTATGGGATGCTGCAAATGGCTGTAAATGCAGCTATGTTGTCAAGCAACCAAAGTCCTCTAACCTTCAGAATTTCAGGTCCATGTCATAAGTTTCCTCTTTCAGGTAGGTTGTAACTTTCAAAGCAAAGTGAAAATAGGAATATAATTTTGTGATGACCCAGGGTGGGATACAAAACAAACACAGTCACAGAAAACAGGTGAAGCCCCTTTTATTCCTTCACTTTGCTTCCAAGCTCCGAAAATCTTTGATGAAAAACAAAAAAACTCCCACATAAACAGTTACATGAAGAAAGAAAAAAGCAACACAAACCAGGCAAGATAAGGGCTGGAGAATGTCCACAGATAACACACACTGGGAAGAACACCAAACTCAGAGAGGAACTATAAACTAGAGATATTTACATGCTTTGTTTCCAGCGTTCGCCAGTACGCAGGTCCAAACTCTTATTCAGTTGTCACAACTGCAGCCCATGAAGAGGACCAAGGCCCTCTCCTCCCAAGTAGACCACATCTCTCCCTTATTCTCTCCATGCCCTAGGATGGATATGGGATGGGCCTGGGTCCTCCCCTGACTGCTCAGCTGGCCTCTGCCCTTCCCCAGCCTCCTCCACAACTTCCGGAGCCACACTTCCACTCCCTGTTAGCTGTTCCTCCTCTCCCTCAGAGTCAGTCTCCACCAGGGGCATGACAAATTTTTTTTACAATGTATAGCAATTATTTTATGTTGTAGCTTTGGTTCTTGATATCAACTCTCACTTCTGAGTATCCAAATGCTCTTGGCAACATTTTCAAAACTGGTTTGCTACCTGTAATACATTTTTCTTATGCTGAAAGAGATTAACTGATCCAAAGTCATTCATCTGCCTTTATGCCCGAGAGAGGATTAGAATTTAAATTTCCCCATTCCTAGTCTAGTACTTTTAACCATGACACCAAACTGAGTCTAAGTCATCTTTAGAATCTAATGAATTTTAACATGGAAATTTGTGCATTCAAAACACAAGGAAAGGACATGTAAATATATGTTAATTTTCAATGCTTTAGTGTGATGTAATGCATATTTATTTCATTTTACAAGAAAACAACAGCCATAAAGAAATTCTTCTTTGGGACATGAAAAAGAATAGCAACATGCCAACAAATGAGATTTGGGAATGAAGATACTGTTCACAAAACTGCTGTACCATAAACAAAAACCTTTAAAGCCTTTTGAGAAAAGTCTAAGCCACAACTTTATTAGATTTATATTAATAATGGCACAGAAATCTAAATATCAAGGTGTGTTTATATTTCTTATCATTGTAATTTAAAATCCTCACAGATTTAAAGTTACAAATGTCACTTTTTTAAAATGGTAATATTTTCAATCCCGCTCTCTCATCTATCAATTCAAACTACTTAGCTTTTCTTATATAAAATAAGTAACATTTTTCAGGGTAAGATCCATGACCTCGACTACTTTTTATCTCAACTTATGCATTAAAACATACAATAAATCTCCCTATACAAAGACTTCTGCAGTAATACCATCAGAATTTACAGCATACATTGTATGGTAGGAAACAATAACTCACCCTCTTTGAAACAAATCCACATTATAAAATTTGTGGAGTTCCACAGAGAATTCTACCATTGCTTGCACTTCGCTCATTTTTATGTAGATAGAAGAGCTGTAGTACAGTTTCAAGGAACTTAAATTACTAAAGAGAAGGAAAAAAAGACAATTGATATGATTCATAAATGACTTTCGTACTCATATGTATCATTCATAAACATGATTTTCTACTGAGTCACTATGCTTTTTGTAATAAAAACACTAAATTCTTAAGCTTCACATCCAGTTTACTATGACTTTTTAATGTTATATGACAGAGGGGAGAGGGAAGTAAATAAAAGAAAATGTCTCTTTATCTAAAGTGGCAAATTTAATGAATTTGGCTTCAAAAAATTGTGTTCAATCTTTAATTATTCTTAAAATAACCAAGTCTGCTGCATTAGTAGATTCTGTAGCAAAGAAAATGTAGTCTTTTTCTTTTCAGTGACAGATATACAAACTTTAAAACAGAGTTTCAATTCTACAACAAGAGCCTATTAGGGTGCTTTGAAAGGTACAGGACCACAAAAACACTCTGATTACGACCACCCAACCAAACAACATCTTTCTTCTGTTGACATTTTTGTGAATGTCTGCAGAAGAAAACTGTCATGCAATACCACACCTGTAGGTTTTAGCTTTCATGTGAGGCAGGGCTTCTAAACACAATTATGCTGAATAAGCAAATAACTGCAGAAAAGTAATTTGAACAATGTCACCAGAAATTATGTTTAAGTTGTACACTCTCTTGAGAAGTGTTCTGGTTTTCTGAATGCAGATAATGAGAATTGCTTATTTTAACCTATTTTGGACATAACAGTAAAATCCAATTTAGTAGTCAGGACATCATCAGCATTCACCTTTTGGGTCTTTATCTCCTCTGTTACTCTAGTATAGTTATGATGAAAAGATTGATCAATTTTTAAAGCAGAAGTAAGTATTTCCATAATTTTTCATCACATCCAAACTAAAAATGATCTTTCATTTAAACTAACCATTAGTCAATGAGTTATAATTCTGGCTTGTTAATAAACCAAAACTCTCTCAAGTTTTCTTGGCTGAGCCAGGAGAAAGTAGGCAAGTATGTAAGTTCAAGGCTCACTATTACTCATATTGTATATGATCTTACAACATAATTTAACAGAATGTCCAAAGTGGATACCAGCCTTTTGCTTATTACGTTTTTAAAATAAGTTGAATTAGAGTGCTGTCAATTAACATAGCAACCCAAAGCACACCTTTTTTGCTTACTAATGAGCATTTGATATAATCCTTTCAAATAATTCAAATAATGCAGTGTCAATCGCATTAGAGCCAAAGTAGGGTCAGTCAGACACTGTTGTATCCAAAAATGTGTAGAATAAAAAGTAAAATTATAAATACTCCCCGAAGCACAGTCCAGTAAAGACCAAACATGTTTGGTCATGTTCAGTACTAGAGTGCAAGTATCAAGCCTTTGTTAGTAATCAGTCTAATAAAAGCTGTATATCTGAATTCCCTTTGGTCAATAACATAATATTTACTCCTCCTTATAATACTTAATATTTTCTTTAATTCAGTTCACCTAGTATAAAGTGTTAAAGATCCAACAAGAATACAGAACACTGTCTCCTTCATAAATCTACCAGCTTGGTAGTGAATATAGATTTTCTAACCCTTTATTACAATACGGTAACAATGAGACTTAACACAGAAAAATTTACAAGTATGCATTTACAGTATTTCTAAAAGAATAAGCTTCATCTTTACCTCTAATAATAAAGAATCCATTTTAATGAAGGCAACAAGCAGTCTTCCAGTTCCTCATTTTTTCAGTCAAAACCATTCTGCTTACTCTGCATGGAAAAGCAAATTATGGAATATCTAAATCCAATCAATTTCTGGGTTTTTTTCAGCAGAATAAAACAAAATGTTAACAGTATTTTGTGTCTCGGTGTACAGTCATGCTGAAGAAAAAATAATCTAATAGTAAGTGATATTTAATTTTAGAGAAAATTAAAAATCTATTATATTAAAAATATGTTTTAATGCTGTATCTTTATTATAGCTTTTTATTTATCTAAATATTAGGTTCATTTATATGTTGACTGTTCAAAGACCTATGATTTAGAGCAACGTGCAACTACTAAATTAGTTTAGGCTGGTTTCTATTCCCTTGTCATGCACAAAAAATGTGTGTGTGTGTGTGTGTGTGTGTGTGTGTGTGTGTGTATATAAATATAAATAATATAAATATAAATAATATAAATATAAATATAAATATAAATATAAATAAATATAAATAAAATATTATGTGAATTCCATGCAATTGATTCTTTTCATACTGTGCTTTCTCAAGGAAAAAATATTTTCATTTGTAAGAAAAACAGTATTGTAACTATTAACAAATTTACAAGAGAGGCATTTTGGAATGTAGTCTGAGCATTTTAGTTGTTACATTATTTTAATTGATTTAGAACATCTATATTCTGTTTTTAAATTATTAAATGCACAATAAGATATTTAAGATACATTTTCAGTTTACTAGGCGAGAAAAGCAACTAGCATTTGCAAGGATTGCCTGACTAATTAAGATAAGCAGAGAGCAAGACAGGGATAAATAACCTTTTTTCTAGCCTAGGGACTATATAATCTTTGTCCTCTACCTGGGGCTGCTGGTGGCAAGAGGTCATGGAATAGAGTGGGAATTTTATTCCTTAAGGAGGAGTTAAGGAGCAAAATGACTGTCTTCAACTTTAAGGCAAACATTTTTCTTCTTTAACTTCTCCAACATCAGCATACTAATGGAGCAGTTTCGGGGTTTTAAAGAAATGAATGACTAGGTCACATCATACGCTAATCATGTTCCTATTGAAACAAAATTGTATGGCAATGGAATGGAGTGGAGTGGAGTGGAGTGGAGTGGAGTGGAGTGGAGTGGAGTGGAGTGGAGTGGAGTGGAGTAGAGTAGAGTAGAGTAGAGTAGAGTAGAGTAGAGTAGAGTAGA